AGCACGTTGACACCTCTGTCCGAATTCGAATGGTGTCCCACTGACTTCCCCAACTCGAGAGCAGTTCAAGCCAGAGGCAGACGTCTGGTACAGAAACCTCCCAAACTCCGGCCTGGGCAACCTCACGGCGCGCTCCTTCTTCGTCGCCGGCCTCTCCATGAAATACCCCCTCGTCCACTGCACCTCCGCCGGCGACATCTGCCAGGCCACCCTCGGCGAGGGCGAGATCAACTCGGCAGCCTCCATGTCCGCCCTCCTCCTCTCCCCGCAGTTCGCCCTCTCCGACACCTATTTCCTCCTCGCCGGCATCGCGGGCGTCAACCCCAACCACGCCACCCTCGGCAGCGTCGCCCTCGCCCGCTTCGCCGTCCAGGCCGCCCTCCAGTACGAGATCGACGCCCGCTCCCTCCCCGCCGGCTGGGCCACGGGCTACTTCGCCTTCGGCACCCAGCGGCCCTTCGACTACCCCCGCATCGCCTACGGCACCGAGGTCTTCGAGCTCAACGCCGACCTGCGCGACGTCGCCTACGCCCTCGCCAGCGTCGCCAACCTCACAGACGCCCAGGGGCCCCGCGAGTACAGCAAGCGGTACAACGAGACGGGCGACGGCAGGGTCGGCGCCACGGCCGCCGTGGGCACGCCGACCGTCGTGCGCTGCGACTCCACGACCAGCGACGTCTACTTCTCCGGCAAGGCGCTGTCGGGGGCCTTCGAGAGGACCACGGAGGTGTGGACCAACGGGACGGGCGTGTACTGCATGACGGCGCAGGAGGACAACGCCTGCCTGGAGGCCATGGTGCGGGCGGCGATTGAGAAGCGCGTGGACTTTTCGCGCATCATACTCATGCGGACTGGTGAGTCTTGCTGCCATTCATCTAGGTAAAACAGATTATCCCACTGACCCTGGGTATCGTATCAGGCTCCAACTTTGACCGTCCGCCCCCTGGTGTGACCGACTGGGAGCATCTGGCCGTTTCGGAGCAAAACGGTTTCGAGATCGCCATTGAGAACATATACAGGGCGGGGATGCTCATCGTCCACGGTATCATCGTCGGCTGGGATGAGACATTCGGCAAGGGGATACCAGCCAAGAACTACATAGGCGACATCTTGGGCAGTCTGGGGGGCCAGCCGGACTTTGGGCTGGGCAGCATCACCGGAGGGCGGGGTGTCTCTCTCGGCGGCGTGGATGGGAACACTGAGCAGGGAGTCTATGAGAGCCATTCTGCAGTCGCTGTAGAGCGAAGGGGCAGATCCCGTAGCAGGCGCTCGAGACACGGAGGTAGAGTCATGAGATAGCTCGGTCAAGGACTGCTAGATTATAAATGTACCTGAAGAAGCGACCAGATCACTGCCTCTGCAAGCGAGCCACTCGTACCGTCTTTTTTTTCTCCGTCTCAATCTGAATCCAACTATTATGCACACCTGAAACGCCAAAGATAATGCATAAAATCTCAAAGCAATCCCAGCATTTTACAGACTACCTCTGCTATGTGATGCAGATACATGTATTATCACACCACCATAGCCTTTTCATCCCTCATATAATGGTCATGCTCCCGGTCAGTAGACGTGCCGAAAATCAATCGTTCGATTATCATAGTATTCATGTGAAATGCTTCGTTGTGAGTAAACAATACGCGTAATTAATGTATGGGGTAGTGAATTAACCCAGCACTGTATTGCTGGTATGATGTTGCGGAATTCATTCCATATCGGCTGTTGTCGAGGAGAAGGTCGAGGGAATAGTAGACCTCATGTACCAGTCGCTCCATTCCTGGTTTGGGGATACAGTGCATAAAGCATCCCAATTGGAGGCAGTTGCCAATACGGCTAAATGGAGTAGCAGGAAAATGACGCTGGTTCCGATGCCACGAAATGGTGGAGGAGGGGGTGCTCCAAATTCGATCTCATCACCAGCGTTTCGCCTGGCCAGGGCATCATCCTCGGATGGTCGTGGCACACGGAGGTCCAGGACAGCAATCATCACCAGTGGTAAAGCAATTTCCCAACTAGCCATGTAGGGATAGCAGGGGCGGAACAGCGATACTATTTTCACGAAGAAGAAGCTGAGGCGAAAGAGGTGGTTTGGGAGGTCACGATCGACTCCCATCAACTCGGCGGTCTGTTGAGCCATGATGGACACACGGTGCCGTAATGCTGCTGCTCTAGTAGTAGGAGGGGGCATGAGAAGCGGTCGAGAGAGTCGCCTAGCGTCTGTTTCAAAGTCGAGTTGGGAAGGTTGGTCGTCATTCTCCTCCTGGCTATCAGTCATCTCAGTGATGGTCATTGCCGGCGGGTGTTCGGGGCTTTGTATTGGACTGTAGTGGCGTTGATCTGAACCGTCGTCTAAAGCCAGCGACGGTTGGTTAAACTTAGAAGGCGAGGTGACAAGCTGAGAGCTGTTCAGAGGTGAGGGACGGGGACGGCTAAGCGGCTTCTGTGGATCTAGAGCATTGTAAGCAACCATCTAGCACATTTGATGCATCAGCTCAATAGGTAGAAAACATACCATTGACTGGAGTGCTGGGTGTCGCAGGAGAGTCAAGGTTTTGGACCCGGTTTACTCGGAGACCCAAGCTTGACCTCTGATCGCGGTCAGTCCTGTTGATACTTTCAAAATGAATGTCTCCTCTCATGGCACTCAGCACTTCGCTGGCGCTTGGTCTCTCGGCGGGTTTGAGAGACAGCAGCTTCTTCAGCAGGGTGTACAGATGTGAAGGGAGGTCCGGCCGCTCCCTCCTCTCTTCATGGAAGCCCTGCCATCCTGTGATCTCATCTCGAAGCTCGTCAATATCTTCCAACTCTTCTTGAATAGCATTGGAGCTGCGGTAGGGCAACTTTCCAAAGCACATGAAATACAAGATCATCCCCAAGGAGAAGATATCTGACTTGGTGGTAAAATTCCCGTAATGGCCACCAGCGTTCATCTTGAGAACTTCTGGGGCGCAATAAGAGATTGTCCCGGTCGAGCCAGATGATTTGCGAACCACATGCTCGGGCTGCACCTCGCCAAAGTCGCTGATCAAACATCTCAGCCTCCCACCCTCACGATGCAGTAAACAGTTGTTTGGCTTCAAGTCGCGGTGGATGTATTCATTAGAGTGCAGATACGCAACACCAGACGTGATGTCTTTAAAGAGAGAGAAGATCTCGTCAAATGACAATTGGCGAGTGAAGGGCGACTGCGGCGTTTCCATGTGTCCCTTAGATCGCCGGCGAGCCCGAGCCTTCAGCTCCTCCTTGGTCACCTCTCTTGGTCCACTTCCGACAATGTACTGGTGCAAATCTCCGCCGTTGCAGTATTGTTGCAGGATAAAAGCGCAGGCGACGCTGGGGCCGAAGGTATTAGGCTGGTAAGTCTCGAGCCAGACATGCCGGTACGACACAAGGTTGGGGTGTGAGAGCTTGTTGAGCAGACCAACTTCAACGAGAACTTTTTCCAGCCAGTCATGGTCGTCGCCAACAGGTACACGTTTACAAGCGAAGTAACCAAGGTCGCAGCCATCGATTTCGTGTCGAACAAGCAGGACAACACCCTTTCCGCCCTTGCCTAGGACCCTCTCCTCCTTGAAGAAGGTTCTGAAGTATCCAGGGCTGAAGGCTTGTTTCCGTATTCTATGGCCCTCGGGTTGAGAGACACCGGGCGTGCTCGAGATGAACTCAGCCTCGCTACTTGCATCGTCGTGTCGAACCCTGGGGCTCTCGGTCTCGGGGGTAGAAGAACGGCCTCGGCCAGTCCCTCCACTCGTCAGCGCAGGGTTGAACAGCCTTCGTACTGGGCTCGGAGGGAGATCATCGCTCGATATGGCACCTCGCGTGCCAGCCTGAAGCATGCGAAAGTAGTCTGGATTGACGTAAGAGTCGTGGTTGTTCTCGTATGGTCGTTCGTATGTGCGCTCGGAAGGCTGTCCCAGAGGACGACGACAGGTCGGACATTCTGTCAAGCCACGGATCTCGAGCCTGTGGGAGGTAGAGTCTCTTACAACGATGGCATTGCGATGGCGACTGTGCGGTTGGGGGTAATTGATTAGCATGAGTGTCTAGACGCATTGATGACGGGCAACCTACAGCACAATCTCGCGACCCTCCTGGTGGTTGTATGGCATTAGCGACATGATCAGAGGAGAATAGTAATGGCGACTGAGAGGGCTGTTGGCGACGGTTCAATGGCCGTCATGATGCGCTTAAAGCCAGGCAGCCGGCATGGAGAGGGAACTAGCTGCGAGCAAACGCGATCCAGTCAGGTTGTGTTTGTTGGTGGGATGATGACGGAGGCGATCGATCATCACCTACCAAATAAACCGCTACTGTAGGTACCTGGACCCAGCGTCCAAGTGGGGGAGAGTGCACTAACAGGGAGGCCTAAAGAAGCTAGCCGAGGCCCTGAATCCGCCCAATATGGGGTAAGCTGAAACACCGCGGTATAGGGTATTTTGATTTCGCTTAGGGTAGCTAACCTATACCTTCCGATGTGCAACCCTGCCATCTTCCTGTCATCGGTTTCTTCCGATTTGGAAAAGAAAATCTAGTAAGAAGTCGCTTGGTGGATTATTTGATCAGCTTCCTTTGCATCTCATGGTTGCCGTGGCAGGAGAGCTTATCAAGAACATGTTCTGAGACGAGACCATACATAAACATCAGCATCGGCCATGAGCAGGTCAGCCCTACGCCGAAACTATTGAACGTTGGAGACCAGCTTGGCAGATTCAAAACTATGTTTTCACTCAAATCAAATGGTAGAGAGAAGAAATTCAGGGGTTTGGGTTTTGTCAAAATAGTATTGCTAAACACGGTTGACAGCCGAGATAGGAACAAGAACTACCCTAGCGCTCTCGGCGGAGAAGCATGATCAGCTTTGAATATTTCACTCGAGCGCCCAAGTTGCAAGCATTCTTTGCGGCTGCATCCGCACGACTGTTCCATTCGCGAGGTATCGCCCAGAGCGAAATCTCGCAACCACCTTCGGCATACTGTCCTAAGAGCCTAGAAAGCTCCTCCTAGAGGTCGCGATTCGCGACAGGCTTACCAGCGGCGGTCTTCCAATCATTGGAGGCCCATTTTCGTATCCAGACTGTTGCTCCTTTGGCCACATACTCAGAGTCAGTCATTACCACGATGCGGGTCCAGCCTTCCCCCCACCATGAACGGCACTCGAGAAAGCCGATGACGGCGCGGAGCTCAGCTCTGTTGTTTGTAGCGGTGTGCGCAGTGTCGGTGGGGCCTGTATCCTCAAGCCGCTGGGCGTGCAATCCGTCCGTTGCGTCGCTGGCTGAGAAGGCGAAGCCACCCTTGGGCGTGGCGAGACCATTTGAAGCGCACGCGCCGTCCGTAAATACGGCCATGGTCTTCAGGCCTGCCAGCCCCGGGGAATACCTACGCCGGATCATGAAGCGCTCGGGATTGATGTGGTCGTTGAGTGTGTTGATGCGGCGGGATGCGAATATCGATTGGGGAGAGAGGGTCGCTGGAGCGTTGAAGGCGGTTCCTGTCCAAACGCCAGCTCTGGCCAAGGTAAGCGCCTGAACGGATATCATCATGTCTAATGGGAATTTCTCACTCTCCATTACCCATCGCGTCTTTGGCATGGGCGACAGATTGCGGATTCGGTATGGGTCGAACGGCCAAAACACCACCAGCCATTTGTGCTCCGAGAGCAGCGAGCTCGCCAATCTTGAATCTTGTCTGTGGCTCACTGTTGATGATTGTGAAATCCCCACGACGGTCCAAAATCATTCGTGGTTGATCATCCTCGTCTGAATCATGTTGGGCCATTTTGGATGTCAATTCTGGCAAAAAAACGAAGAGTTGTGGAGGTGAGAAGAGACACCTAGGTCCTGAAGCATTCGATTTTTTGCAGAAATATCTAGGATCATGTTCGAGGTAAGAAATGAAAAGGAAAAAAGGTTGCGTTTACCCAAACAGTTAGGAGGCCTATGGTTCCACATGCAGTTGTACAGGAAAAAGCAAAGTGCCGCCCCAGGCAAACCATCATGTCTCACTTGCAGTCACAAAGGTTACCTCGCAAACTGGAGCAATGGGCTGGATGGTGAAGCTCTGCAATTTCTAGGAAACAATTGGAAAGAATTGAAACAGCTTCTCCTTTAAGCAACGTAGTGACCTCGGGTCCTCGACGAGGAGTAGTAGGGTCAAAACCTATGAGTAAAGTAGGATGCACTAAGATTTGGATGAAACCACTACGTTATATCTATACTGTCAGTAGCCCACCAAGTTTTACTTTCCCTGACCTTTCTGTATTCCATGATAAAACGGAATTCATAACATTCAATATAATTAATAAGAATAACGCCATCTTGTTATCATAGAAACATATTGTTTTGGTTATGTACATGTATGTTATACCACATGGATAAAGGATTCATAGGATTTGTATTCTTCCCTACATGTGCCTGGGTAGCTGAAATAAAATATTTATAGTAGAACCCAGACACTGTGAAGCATTGATGGTAGAAAAGTGAGGATACCAATGACATCAGAGCCAAATAAACAATTCTTGTAACGTGCTACTATTCATGAACAAGTCTAAGTGCTTTGTCAAATCCCAAAGTTTGCATCTGAGCTGGTATTCCAGACTAATCAAAATCGACGGCCATAATCTATTTATATATGAACGATCTGATTCTTCCTTTATTGCGTTCGGATAGCGGTTACTATCTGGCCGAGGTGCGTGATGAGACTTGCGTAGAGATTGCTGCTTTGACGTATGCTTGGATCATAGACCACGGTATGAGCGATGAGTCGGTGAGCGAAGGGCTTCACCACGCATGCAGGGCGCTCAGAGAGCGCGAAATGACAGGCGGTGGATATGCGAATACTGCTGACAGGGAGGGTAGGAGAGATGACAGGGATATCTTGTTTCATGACGAGGTTTTCGCCTCATACTCGTGGGTGCCGTTTATGCATTTTGGGCTGTGGTTTCGTATGGAGAGATCTGTTCATTACACCCACCAACTTGCTTCTGTATGATTTACAAGGCAACAGGCCCCGGCTTTGTTAATGTAACACTGCCTTGGCCAGATTCAGGGGGTATACAGGTGGCCCAGAGTATTTAATTCTGATACATTTTTCAACCGTTCCCTTAGATAGTATAAGGTTCTATATCGATTCGTTAAGCTGGTTGAATCTGGTGGGAGGTAGCTGTTGATAACATGGCATATAACTTAGGTGGTTATCAAATTCCACCTTGCTCTTCTTTGCCCTAAATATCCTTTGAATTGGGTTCAACGCGTGAAATCTATGCAACGATGACAGTCTCGTCGGGAGTGTCTATGTTCTATGTTGAAATGCGTTGTGATGAGAGAACTCGAACTGGCTCATCAGCATGCACTGACTTGAGACCTCGCTCTCCAAATCTCTTCGGCTTCAACTGCAGCTTCATCCTCGGTAGTCGAAACGTGTTGCGCACGAATCTTTTCCAGGACTCTCGCGGCTTCGGATGCATATTCGCACTTCATCCGAATCCTGTCACCGTACTTGTAGAACAAGAAAGGACAAGGGACGCAGGCGAGAGCTAGGAAAGCTGGGATGGAACTAGCCCATTGATTCCCGAGCCTGTCGTACATTTGCCGAGTGAACAACGGGAAAGCAGCACCAAATAACGATCGCAGGACTGAATTAGCGGCCAGGACCGAAGCGGCGAAAACGACATCTAGTGAAAATGAACATCAGCATCGATCTTGTTACGTGTGGAGTGTATGAACTTACAAGAATCAATCAAGTAGTTTGTGAGGGACAGAAAAACCGACACGAGGCCAAAAGAGAAGAAGCTGGTCCCGATAATTGGGACAACCCAATGGATGGTTGGAAATGTCGTCCAAGCGAACCAAAAGAAGCCTATGGGGATGAAGATGGACCCAATCAACCCCATAGGAAGTCGAGCTTCAGGGTCTACTGAGCCTTTCTGCGAAACTACAAGACGAGAATACCGATTGTTCTCGAATATCGACATCAGTGTGGCGGCTAAAACGCCAGCCGCAGATCCAATGAATGCTAACCCCCCGATACCAGGACTCCAGCCTCGTCCTATCTGGAAGACGATTGGGAAAGCTGCAAAGCACATGTAAAGTGTGCCGTATATGATCGAATGATAGAGTGAGATCAGGAAGACAATGGGTTCCTTGAACAGCAGAATCCATGGACGTGTTAGGGCTGTCTTGAGTTGGTGTTGAATCGATTTCGGTGGCTGACCAGCATCCAGTGTCGAAATGTATACTTTTCCTGTGATCTTGGATAGCATAGCGGCACGACGGCGAAGAGTGAAGGGTGCGTATGTTTCGGGGAATAGAAAGATGCCTAGAATCCATAGAACTCCCGTGAAGATTGCGAAAAGGCCATGGAGCCATCGCCAGCCTTCCGCCTGCCCAAGGAAGCCACCTACAATAGGTCCTGAAAAAAGTCAGCTGCGTGAAACAGTGAGTTAGAAATATCTGTTCTAACCGATAACCGGTCCCATGAATGGAGCCATGGCAAAGATGCTTGTCGCGAGCCCACGCTCAGACTGATCAAACATATCGGCGATCACGCCGCCAGCATTGGTTAAAATGGAAGACCCAAAAGCGCTGGCGAAAAACCGAAGGGTGAGCAAGGTCTGAATATTCATTGCGCAGGTCGCACCAACGTTGAACACTGTCAAAACCATGAAAGTGATGATAAAGATGTTCCGCCTGCCATACAACTCCGACAGAGGAGCCCAAATAAGCGGCCCAACGGCGAATCCAAGGACGAAGATTGAGACGCCGAGGGTCGCGACCTCTTGCGACACATGAAAACTACCAATGATTTCCCTAATGCCGCCAGAATATGCCGAGCTTGCGAAGGTGAGCGCTAAAGTTGCCGCTGCCTGAAGAAGAGTGATCATCCATTTCTTGCCTCTAGGCAAAGTTGTGGCGTCCTGCGGATCATCGGGCATAAATCTTACAATGAATGGTGCCTCTTCTGTCCCGTTCCCCTCATAACTATGATTGATGGTTTTCGTTTGGTCAACACTCCCGAACAGTTTGGCCTCGACCCATTCGGATAGATTGAATCTTGCCGCCTCGATCTCCGAGCCGGCAATCGTTGAAGACGAAGAAGAAATGGGATGATTAATGGACATGATGTCTGAAAGGAGCCCGTCGATAACTCAAAAAAGTATCTGGGACCTGGGCGTTTGGCCACTGAAAACCATATGAATATGTGAAATTGGAGGGGACCGAGGTCGATCGGCCTTGGCCTTTGGTTTTCTTCCTGCTCGGCCTAATCATACGGCACGTTACCAATCCGTTTCTTGTCTATCCTTCCGCCATCGGGGTTTATTTGAGCCAAGCATACATATGATGAAGTTAGTTGCGAAAATAATTCCGCGGACTTTTCCTCGGTATTATCTTCGAAGCTGTAATCCTGGTGGAGCTGCGCAATCACGTCAGTGCCGTCTGTTATAACATCAATACTCTTGGTGACATTGAATTTGAGATGCTAAAACATTTCAATGAATTGCTGAATTATTCTAGTCATTGTTGAGATTGATCAGCCCATAACCGCCCGTCATCAAATTAAGCTATCATTTCTTCTGTCGTTCAGTTGGCTCTGCAACTCCATATCCGGCTTGATAGGTACTACGGATTTAGCCCGAGATATTCTATGTTAATAACCACCGAGATACTACAATGGGGACCTTCAAGAAAAGAATAATGAATGTTTCATACAACCCTAAAAATATCTTGTCGGTTTCAACTGCAAATATCACTGTTTTTTTTCACAGTGGACGATTCAACTATCTTCCGGTGTCTTCAACTCTGTCATTATCTCCTAAAAAAAGTGATAGATTCTTCGCATGAGGTTCCAAAACAAGGAGTTTGTTATGCCCTCCGACATAACCCTCATGAACGCTGAATTCCGGGATGCAAACACCCTGAATCTTGTCCGCTTCGTCAACCTTTCTCACGAGGTCTGATATATCTAGTTTGAAATCGCTAGATGCATGACTTATCTCAGCATATTAGTGCGCCAATTCGCTGCCTGAACAGAGAGCAGCTCTCTTTGAGTTCCCATCCATCGGCAATGATACACCATGCACTCGATATCAAGCTCTGCTGACTGAAGTAAACCGGCTGGGTTACCATTGGGAGGATCTGCTACAATACGTTCATCAATAAGCCTAATGAAAGACACCGGAAGATTCGAAAGTTTACCACAGGGAATATCGAGTTGCGCGTGGTCTCCTACAGTTGATAATCGACTCTAAGGCGGGGCGTAGGCTTGATTGCGTTGGGTTTGGATCCCTCGGCTTGCAATTCCCAGTAGATTTTCAAGAACCGTTTTTGAACGACCCAGCCGCGTGAGCTTAAAGACGAGTTCTCAATATCGCTTTCCCAGAATCATTTCAAACTAGCCAAGGCCCATCTACCACCCCCTACTTCGATCTTTCAATGGCATATTGACTGGGCAAGGCTGAAGAAGTCTTGGGTTCAGCTTTGGAGGGTCAAACAAACCAGTGGTGGAGGGTTTATGTGACGAACTAACGGCAGATATTTTGTAATAGGAATGAGTCTAAATATCCCGCCATTAAGTTCACTTCTTTCTGCCAGTCAGCTCGTGAATCTTGGATTATACACAGGGAGCCTATCCAGATATATCGATGCCCCAACTGACGAACGAGAAGAATGGCATCGCAGAAAGTTGGTGATGGGCTATGGAGGGGGATTCCGTCAAGAATCAATGTTCGGTTTCTACGCAAAGCTTAAACGTATTTTGCTTTCCCCAGCGGTGCGACGATATCGTGGTGAATGTCCTATTAAGTTGTTCCATGTTCCCTTTCGATGTCATCCCTGTGCCGTAGTAAGTGTGAAAATCTTCCGTCAAGCGTGATGCTGCCGCATCACCACTGCGTAGTATTGATGGCTCCAGATGTTCCCACAATCAAGTGCATACAAAGCACCCAACATGAAGGCTTTTTGCGAGTCTTGATATCTCATGTGGTGGGAAATATTGAATGAAATGCTAGGACGGCCTGGGAGATAATGCCATTGGTCGCGGTTCTCGATATCACTCCCGCCCTGAAAGCTCCTCTTGCAAGTATCACACAATACACCCTCAATGCTTTCCATAGTTGTGTCAATTGCTGTGTCAATATGAGTGAGCTGTCATACGCATAGAGCGAGCTAATTGGGTGAAATATTGGCAATAAAATCAATGGACAATCACCATCGCCGATATGCTTGCTGCCCGATCTGTAGGTTAGGTCGCAATGAGCTTGAGCTTAGAGCTGATATATCCTTCAATGTGCATGAACTAACACGTTGCCGCCCCTTTCATTGCTAACTAGGTAGGTAAATTTCTAGATGGTACATTAGTAGGCTCATGTTCTAAGTATATATCCCTATTTTGAGTATGTTCTGTGAAAAGGGTGATTCCCCCACGCCCTGCCAGTGGCGTCGGGAAGGTGAAAGCCAAGTTCTACGCCAAGACGATCTTACAAGAGCTGAGGGAACTATTAGCACGGCACCGGATGGCGAATCAGTAAGCTAGCGCACGAGGCTTGATCACTTTCTTCGATCCATTATCGTACTGCCATTCGTTGGCAATATCGGCGTGGTGGGACCTCGATGAAATTACTGGCTCCGCCCTGTTGATCATCTCTCCGGAGGAGGGCAGCAAACTGGTAGGTGTTTAGCCTTCCATAGGTACGGCTCGCGTTGAATGAATTATACACTGTAGAAGCTCCCTTTCAACCACTTGAAAATTTCTCGAAAACCTCCTCATGAAAACTTGAGAGGATTGGGAGCCAAACGACCAGTCCATCGAGATCTCTCATGACTCTCGGCATGCAACTAGCGCTGAGCCATTGCATCTAGTGGCCGCCACAGTCTTAATATGTTCTAGCCCCAGGGGATATTGGCAATTGGAGTGTTTCTGCGCGCGAGAACTGACGCTAGCCTCTAGGTAGGCTGATGGATCGATCAGGTCTCGAATCGGACCCTAAGTCAATGGAGAAAAACAGACTGGATGTCTTGTTTATTGCTTCTTCTCCTGTTCACTCGTCCATCTCCCTCCTTGTTGCGTTATAGTTGTTGCTGAGCAAGATGAGGCTGTCACTCGTTTATCTTGCCGTGTTCGCGGCTCCATCCCTCGTTCACGGACGCAGACACAGATGCTCCCGGTCCACCCCCCTTTCATCAGCTGCTGCCACGCCAGACACCAGCAGTGGATGGACTTCCACTCCTTCAGCCAGCGTCTCCCCTTCGTCTGTCATCATCGCCTCCTCCTCGACCCCGGGGTTAAGCGATAGCTCTGCAGTCAGCCCATCAGCCTCGGCGTCCACACCCAGCAGCTCTGTGCCTACTACTTTCAGCACCGGAACTACTCCCGCTGGAACACCATCTTTAATTGAAGTTTCTTCTACACCATCTTCAACTGATGTTTCCTCTACACCATCTTCAACTGATGTTTCCTCTACGCCATCCTCAGCTGATGTTTCCGCTACGCCATCCTCGAGCTTGTCCTCGCCTTCTCTGGGGGTAAGCAGCACCGCTTCGGAAACCCCCATTGCTTCTACAACACCCGGCGAATCGACCACTCTCAGCACGCAGACGATGCCCAGCGCTTCGCCAGTGTCCAGCGAGTCTACCACGCCTGTTTCATCCACGGTTATAAGCTCTTCCTCCTCCAGCTCCGCACCAGCCGCCACCCCGACCGCTTGGCAGTTACAGTCAAGTGGCGCCAACAGCGGTTTCGCGGGCTCCTATCTCCTTGGTAACAACCAAAACCACAATGCGCCCTATTTCTTCAGCCCCCAGGTCACCGTTCCCGACTACTTCGAGAAGCTCAATTTCTACATTGAACCCGGGACGGGCCATCTCTTCTGGGTCACCGACGGCGTGAACAATCGATATCAATTCTTCACATCTTACGACGAGTTTGAAGAGAATGGGGAGTACTACTACAATGTTAACCCGGGTTACGTTTCTTGCTACGACATGGCAGTAGGTGTCGGGAGCATACACACGCAGCCCCTCGTGTGCTCCCGAACTGGTGCTTCATTCAGCTGCTCCGCCAATACACCCGGTGGCGTGTTCAGCCACTTCATGATCAGAAGCTCTCAAACTTCATCTTACATGATTAGCTTTGGGAGTTCCATCCCTTCAGGTTGGCAGGAGGTTACCTTTGCAGCCGTTGATATCTATTAGATGGGGAGTTTCGTTTAAATTGCATATAGAATGATGCCCAGGCTAGAGAATAGAAAGAACCGCGGTTGGAGATACCAGAATACTAATACTATTATTTTAATTCAATTCGATCCTAACTCATGAATTAATAAGACTAGCTGGGAACAGGTTTTCTCTTCACAGTTGAGCGATGAATGCCCGCCGACCAGACGCTCAATGTCGCTTCCACTGACCCTGCGTTCTATGGATAAATGAGGCCCATTCCGTACTGACCAGATCATATTAACTTAGCTTTCTCAACCGCTATATTTTCTCTTTCCTTGCCCTAGGCCGAAGTGTTATTTCGGAATACCCGAGATGAATAGTGAGATATAAATTTGTGTAGCACCGAGGACGCTATATGCCTGAACCTGTGGATCTCGGGGTTATATAAATTGCCGAGTTGATATAATGCCGAAATGCCGACGGGCCAAGAAAACCAGCGGCCTCGGCCCTCCCAAAAGCGTCACGAACGTCCGATCGATTGCTCTTACTTCCGCGGGATCCTAACAAGTGACTCGATCAAATGAATCTTTCCGACCCCCAGACTCGGGCTTCCCAAAGGAATGGACCAATTGAATCTGGCCCATTGGCCAAGCGCAGCAAGGCATGCGTGTCTTGCCGAGCACGCAAGGTCAAATGCGATGCTGATGCGGTTGGCCTGCCTTGCAGTAGCTGCACAAGCAGACAATGTCCCGAAACCTGCGTCTTGTCCCTGCGCAAGCCACGTAGGAGGTACATCAAATCCCGACCTATTGCTTAGAAAGCCCGTTCTCCTACTTACATGCGTTATAGGAAATTGGATCTCACTACGGCGAGAGAAAAGTCCGGAAGATCAAGTGTTAGTTTGACGGTAAGTAAAGCTAGATTGGTCCGCCGTGATTTTGATCCCTGTAGCTGGGATCTTCTTTCTATGGTCCTGGCAATATGAATATCGTGTGAATTAACAAGTTTCATCGGAAAGCCACCAGCATGCCGACCGGAACATGTATCGGAATGTGAACCAATTCCTCAACCTCGCGCAATCGAACCAACATCTGCTACCAGTGTTGTCAGCTCCTATCAGAGTCGCGGCCGCTCAAGCGACTCTCGTCCACGGCGTACACGGCGACCACCATCCGATTTACCTTATCTCAACATGATACAAGACGCCGTAAACAGTGCTGCCTCTGGGGAACAACTCGGCATGAATGGAAGAAGTCCCTCCGTTTCAAGAGAAGAAGAGCATAGCAGCCTTGATACTTGGTTTGGAAACAAGCCCCCAGGATTGGATGACATTGATTACGACTACCTTGTCAAGAAAGGAGTGTTCGAATTACCTGCTCAACCTCATCTGTGAGACTGGACCTCACTGGATTTTGGAGGCTTTTTGTGTTAACTCTTCTGCTTAGGGATACGCTTATTCGGACTTACTTCGAGTATCTTTGGCCATCCGCGCCTGTAATCTGCAGGATTGATTTCATTCAACGCTATAGAGCAGGTAACTGTTCTCTGTTTTTACTATATGCTATTTTAGCAACCACAGTGCCATTCGCGCCTGAGGATTCAATATCTGGATTGGGCTTTCAGGATCGATCAGTTGCGCAGAAGAGTTTCTTCTCGAAATCGAAGCTGCTATATGACTTTCATTGCGAGCGAGATCTTCTCGCCATGTTGCAAGGCTCATTAATTCTTAACATCATCATTCTTGACTATCCAACCGACAAGGATTTTCAGCACTGGTTCTACAACTCCATCCGTCTGTTCGTCAAACTCGATATACCTGAAATGTATGTTATTCTTCAATATTCTACTGATAGAGAGTCACTGCTGAGATCGAAATATAGTTGCGCCAGACAGGACGATTCTTGCAAGGCACAAAAGCTGTATAGGAGGATCTGGTGGGTTCTTTATGTGTGTACATCTTGTTCTTTCCACCCACCTCCTGCCCAAATTACTAATCGTCAATCAGAGCCGAGATGTATTTCATTCCTTTGTAAATACACGAAACCTGCGACTTCTCGAAGTGTTGCCGTATATTAAGCCAATCACTTTTGGTGATTGGGACGACGAGGACACGTCAGAAAGCCATGATTTATTAGAGCCGATATCAGACGGACAGAAGACTTCACTAGTTGCTCATTGCGAACTAGCCCAAATGTGTAGGTGTCCCCCCAATCCATATGATCCATCAGGTGTGCCGAGTTAACGAGAGAAGTTTCGGGGCATCCGCTGAACACCACCAGCGACGTAGCTGGGCAAGACCCCCTCACATTTATGCTTCCGCTCGAGGAATGGCGGGTGTCTCTTGCGGAAAGAATGGGCATCCGAAACCAGTCGTACGGCAGAGAGGCATATTATCCTGAAATAATGGCGAGAAGTTATCTGTTCGAGTGCATCTTGTGTCGGCACCTCCTACGACGCCAGGAGGTCAAGTGGGGTGATTGGGCAAAGCAGAGGCTTCGGTCCGCCATTTTCGAGCTCGATGCCATTGTTGGCAGAGTTTTGGCAAATGGAACGATAAAGAAATTCCCAATGGGCTTGTAAGCGAGCAGAATTCGCCAAATCGAACATGCCTGGGATGCTGATCATCAGTAGTGTCGCAACTGTGCCAGCGCTACTCGCCTTGCACATCGAAACGGCGTTGGATCTCTCAGAAACTGAACTTGCACGATCTATGGCTCGAGTGTCCATCAACCAAACAATGCTCGCTCTAGGGCAGATGCAGCACGTTCCAGCGATAAAGCGAGGCTTGCCCGCCTTTGAGTCGGTTCTGGCCAAGAAGGATCTGTATCAGGTAACAGGCCGCAGCCATGCAGAAAAAGCTTCCCCGAGGATACCTGCAGCAGGGCAGCATGCCCCATATGATGGCGCTCATCTATCGTCCGTGCTGCAGCCTGGTATCTCTTCAGCTGACTCTGGCCTGACAGACTACCCTAGCTTCCCTGAGGATTTTCTTGGATACGATTTCCTAGATAGATGGCAGCTGGAGCAATGGGAGTTCATAAATATTTAACAAGATTCTCCTTCCATTAGGCTCGAAAAGCAGACGGTGCCCTTTGCAAACCCTTGCTGGCGTGCCTTGCTCATAAAGAGCGCAATTATGCCAAGTGAGAATTCTAGAGAACAAATACTGCATGTTCTAATTTTCTTACAGTGCTATCGCAGTGTATTCCGCTATTACAATGATTTCTTGCTTCATGTGAGGCGATGGATATAAGCGTGATAGAGTCAACGACAGGTGACACGGTGAAACTCATTGAAACTTCACAGCGTATTAGCAGTTAGAACCAAACAGAGACTAAATCGATCTCCAAGTTCTTCCATCCAACGTTGAATCCTGGAACTCTCTATTTACCGAGAAAGATCTTTTCAGAGCAAGGTGAATGGCCTAATACTTTCCAGGTGAGAAATGGAGTCAAGGGTTGCGTTCTCAGTGGGTGTTATTTGGGTGGGCTGAAAGAAGCAGCATCCTGCGATTGGTCGCCTGAATTTGGGTAAGGCGAATCGACAAGCATTTGCCCCTCACTCTCACCTGGCATTTTCCCCTCCACAAGCCTGACTCTTCATCTCTCCAACCTCAGTCTGGCTCTGATTCAGCTTGCTATGGCTGCGATTAGTCCAATACACCAGCTATGGATCAACCCCAAGTCCATATAGATAGCAACCCCGACACAGCAAACGAGACGAAACGATCCGACCGCGGCAAAACGTTCCGCATCCGAGCTGTGCCCATAACTTGGGATTCGAACCGACTGGCATCCTTTCTACGGGATTCCACCGACGATACACACCCAACCGTGCTATCACTGGCTCCCGAAATCCATGGGCGGACACAAACAGCCACTGCCACGTTCTTACGAGTCCCGCCGCTACCACGAGGCGCAAAATCCTGGCGCATCCCATTACCAGCCGGGAATCAACTCCAAAACAAACGGCAAAAGTCAATCGAGCTCGATGGCGACTTCCTCGGGGTCACGACCTTGTACCACCCCCCACCACACGAGCACCAGACCGAGTGAGTGGCCCAGACCATCACTCAGATGTATACTCACCCGCCTAGTATTGTTGCAATATCCGGTATCGGGGGACATGCGTTCGGCTCGTTCAAGGAGAGAGGCGGCGATTATATGTGGCTACGAGACGGCCTGGCCGATGACTTGACGACAGCACGGATCATGATTTATGGTTATAAATCGACAATCCCAAATAGCAAGAGCATGCAAAATCTAGCAGATCTTGCATTATCATTTTACAGTTCACTTGAGTCGCTCATTGGTGACGAAGAGCCCAAGCCAATCGTTTTTATTGCACATAGTCTAGGCGGCCTAATCGTTAAAAAAGTAGGTACAATCAATGTCCTTCTCAACAGATGTCTGATGCATTCCCTAGGCCTTGTCAGAATTAGCAAAGTCTGAAAATGAGGTCCATGTGAGGCTCATCCAAGCAGTGCACGGGCTTGTCTTCTTCGGGGTGCCCAACGATGGCATGGACATCAAGTCCCTGATCCCAATGGCAGGAGATGGGCCGAACCGGTCACTCATCGAATCCCTCAGCAGTAGCAACTCAGATGTTTTGCGTACTCTGCATCAGGAATTCCACGATATCTTGGGCTCAGGGCGGATGATACTATGTTTTTATGAAACAGAGTTATCCCCGACAGCCCAAATGGTATGCTTCCAACTGAGAAAGAAAAACACCAGGAAATATTAATTAACAAATCTTAGGACGAGAACGGCAAATGGAGTATGAGAGGACCGGAAACAGTGCTGGTTACCCAAGCATCCGCTATAAACTGCCGCCGCTGGGAAACCGGCTCTGCCTATATATGTCCAATCTCTCGTAATCACTCTGACATGGTCAAGTTTGAAGAAGAAGATGAGGAGTATGAAAAGGTCCGCGGAAGGATCAGGAATATTGTGAGAAAAGCCAAGATCCATCCACCAGTCTACAATGTCAGAAGTATGTTGCAGAGAGTTCTGCTTGGCCATGATGTAAGACTTTTAGCCGTTTCTAACATTCTCACTGTAGGTCGTGCCATCTATGATGATGCATATTCTTCCAACCCACCGTTGGTTATGAGGACAAACCAATTCACCGACACGCAAGATACACCTACGCAAATCCATAGTGGAGTCAACGAATTTGACGGACGCCATACCTCACAAGACCTATCTTATACACAAAAGCAAGAAGATGAAACTCACCAGGCAGAAAAGGACGGTACGTCTTTCAACTTTCAAGCTTTATAACCAAGTTATTCTTGAGTATTGGGCGGGAACTAAAAATAGTCTCACAGCCTGTCTCCGGTCTCTTGGATTCTCTCGCATAGATGACCGGTACCATGCCATAGACGCTGCCCACCCTGGCACGTGCGAGTGGCTTTTCGAAACCCCGTCGTTTCAGAGGTGGTGGCATCGCGATGAAATCGAGCTAAATAACGGAGTCCTGTGGATTAAAGGCAAACCAGGAGCGGGGAAGTCAACCTTGATGAAGCACATCCTACACTGGTGTGAAAATCCGGATCACTTGAAACCTAAGTTGATCATCCGATATTTCTTCAACGCACGAGGGGTTTCAGAGGAAAAATCAGTTTTGGGGATGCTGCGTTCAATGGTAAATCAACTACTTACCGAGGACTCGACTATATTCGACAACTTCTTCCAGATCTTCAGACAGCGGGATGCGAATAAACAAGACTGGGTTTGGGAAGTGGCCCCATTGACCAACTTCATTCTTGAATTGGCCAAGAACAAAGCCGCTAGGCCTATGGTTATCCTCATCGATGCATTGGATGAGTGCGATGAAAGTGACGTAAGGCTTGTTGTTGACTTTCTTGAAAATCTGAGTTGCCACGCGACCTACTCGGGGTTTGAGCTGAGAATATGTCTGTCGAGTCGACATTACCCCAACATCACCATGAATAAGATGGTTCAGTTAATTGTGGAGACGGATCAGGGACATGAAAATGATATATCGACGTATATCAAAGCCAAGCTCCGAGTTCAAGATGACGGGGTCCAGGAGAAGGTCCAGAAAAAAGCAGATGGCATTTTCATGTGGACTGTCTTGGTTGTGTCAATCCTCAATAAGGAGTTTGACCAAGGCTCTCGGGAGATATTAGAAAAGACTCTGGAAGACGTTCCTGGAGATCTAGAGGAAGTCTTTGCTAATCTTCTGTTAGAAGACGGAAAGGCTGACCCGGAAACTGCGCTCATGTTTCAATGGGTGCTTTTCAGCCAAAAACTATTGAAGCCTCAAGAACTATTTCTTGCAACTCAGATGGGGTTATCCCCAGATTCTGATGGAGTATGGGATAACTCCAAGTACACTCTGGATTATATCAAACGTCGCATTGTTTCCATTTCGAAGGGCCTCATCGAAGTACGAAGTGGCAGCAATAAAGACGACGACCCGTATGTCCAATTCATCCATTTATCGGTAAAAGACTTTCTTTCTCGGAACAATAGGCTACAGGCACTGGATCCTACAATTGGCCACGAACCCGTCCGCCTCAGCCACCGTCGACTGTGGAGGATCTGCTGGGATTGCATCAACCGGTTTCATGCCCAGAACGCAGATTTCAGCAATGAAGACCCTTATTTTGAGGCTAAGCTTAGCTCTCCATTCATCAAATACGCAGCGAGTTATTTGTTCGACCATGCGAACTGGGGAATATCAGACCAACAGAAGAGCTCCGGGGGGTGGTTCCAGAACCCATTTAAATCGCGTAACCAAGATGCGAGCAAAGAGGATCTTGAGAAATGGCTGAACGAACATAAAAGCTGGTACGAATTGTGGCAGAGAAGTCCCAGATACCAGTCCGGGCTCAAATTCCAATTGGATGTATCAGAGGGGATTGTGTACGTCTTCTCTGCAGGTGGATATGCCCAACTGCTCAGACCACTCTTGAAGCGAAAGTCTATCGATGTTCGCGCCCAGAGTGCCTACCATGGAACCCCACTACATGCTGCCTCCTATTTTGGCCACATAGACATTGCACAGATACTGCTTGGTGCAGGTGTTAACGTCAATACGCAGGGGGGTAGATATGGCAGTGCACTACAGGCTGCCTCTACTGGAGGAAACAAAGACATCGTACAGCTTCTGCTAGATGCAGGTGCTGATGTCAAGGCGCGAGGTGGTCGATATGGCGGTGCACTACAGGCTGCTTCTTTTAACGGAAAACGAGACATTGTGCAACTCCTGCTTCATGCAGGCGCTGATCTGAATGCCGTAGGTGACGAATATGGCACTGCACTATACAGCGCCGCCTACTCTGGTCATATAGATGCAGCATTGCTCCTACTGGATGAAGGCGCTGATGTTAACACGCAGGGTGGTAAATTCGGCAACGCACTACAGGCTGCCTCTAGGAAAGGAGCACAAGACATTGTAGAGCTACTGCTAAATGTAGGCGCTGATGTCAATGCCCAAGGGGGTAAATACCACACTGCCCTGCAGGCTGCATCCATCGACGAGACGGAGATCGTGAAGGTACTCTTGGATGCAGGCGCAGATGCCAATGCTCAGGGTGGCCACTATGGGAACGCACTTCAGGCTGCCTGTTATCATGGAGCAACAGAAATTGTGCCACTGTTACTGGCTGCAGGCGCCGATGCTAATGCCAAAGGTGAATTTGGCACTCCATTGCAGGCTGCCGCCCAGTATATAAGGGTTGTTGGAGCACGAGAAATGGTCAAACAGTTGTTGCTGGATGCAGGCGCTGTCCAAGACGCCGCGTCTTCTCGTGGAAAAGTTGGCGGAAGGAAAAAGGTGAAACCTCTTGTATTGATTAAATAGAAAAGCTTGTACTAGTAATCAAAGTATCTGTTATAGATAGGTGGGATATTGGCTCTAGATGGTTCTCCCTACTTCAGATTCTACTCATCGAGACAACGATAACACGGTTAACACAAATGGAATCATATGACCAGTAATGGCAAAAAGCCAATAGGTACAACGCCCCTGAGAGTTTAAACAACCCCAGGCTTTAGAGTAATTCACCCCATCTAACAGTTTATCCCATAGTCGTCCGCTGCATGATTCTGCTACGTACATGGGGCGTTGTCATTCTCACGCAAGCTTTCCACATTCATGCTTCATCAACACATGACACTTCACAGCATGTAATTTTTTGACACATCAAACCTACAATACAGTAACAAAAGATATTTTCCATGAAAAAATGAAGACCATGTCACTGGAATTTGGAATCTCGATCTTGAGAGCTAAATAGATGTAGTTACGCAGACATAACCTCATGCCAAGGCAGATGGGTGTGTAGGGTAAGCAGCGCCAAGAGAGCGATGGCAGGGCAAAGTAGGTGGAGAAAATAGAGGCTGCAAAGGTGTTTCTATTTATAGGTAGGTAACTTAGATATCTTTACTTTCAATCTTAATGGGCAAGCATTATTATTTAAAGATACTTACTCTATGCCACTGGTATTTTTAGCTGTCTAGCTAATTGGAGGGTTATCCGGTCTCCGGGCAACATGAACCAAGTTAATAAGAGGCTGAGTGCCGTTGATAAGGTTGGAGCCTTGCGCGCGGCAGTTCCTCAGGTTCGGCTCAGGGATATCTCTCGGAGCGAGTCTACCGACCCGCGCGGGAGCCATCCACACGCGCGGCTGCGCAGCAGGATCACCCATGTATATTATGTGCTTGAAGGATGCACCATGTCGGTAGCGTTCGACGATCAGCCCTAGATAGACGGATTGCTCGCCTCAAAAGGTTCCCCCAAGACGTGCTGTGACTGGCCCCTGGCACCCGATCACCTCATGGCTACTGGGCGGAGATTAAAGAGCCATGTACAGCATGCCCGGCTTCAGACAACCTAGGAATTAGCCACTCGATTGGCACTGAATGGGCCTACTTCGTTAAACTAGTGTTTCTCTGCGCTCCCTGATCCTAGTGCCCGGGGATCAACGAAGAAATACTCGGCAGTTTTTCTTGTGTCTCTAACATGGATACCCCTTGCTCGAGGAGCTTCCGGCTCTGAAAGTAGACTGCCAGGTTGATCACAGCGGTCAACTTGGCCACGTAACTACCAACATGAGTTGGCCAATAGCTGTAGGATTAAAAGTGTAGTGTCACCTATTTTTAACCCTTAGCTTTGCCGATGTAATGGGCAAGATGATTTAATAAACATCCGCCGGTTAAAGTAGTTCCTAAAATCGCCCAAAATAGAAGCAGATATCGCCGAGAGAACATATTTAAACCTGCCGTCCTCGCTGTCATCTAATTGTTCTCTCTCTCCTACCATTAAAACATAAACAAGCACATTTCGACTATTCCTTTATTTCCCTTGACTACCTTTTTTCTTGATTTATCCGTGCTTGAACTCTGTGTTGCTGGCCAACTCTACTTTCTCCTTCATTCCTTCAAGATGCCTTCTCTAAAGCAAATCTTCATTCTTGCGGCCCCTTTCATGGGCCTCATTCGACAGGTTGCTGCCAATCCTGAAATTGACGAGAGCAACGATCTTATTGCCCGTGACGATTTCGATAGCGACCTATACGTCAGAGGTGCTGGTAACGGCGTTATCAAGCGTCCTGGACCTGGCCCCAGGCCACCAACCATCGTTGTCACTCCTCCTTCACGACGACCACGATCATTGAACCGCCGAGGTGCCGGTAACGGGGCTATCAAGCGTCCTGGACCCGGCCCTAGACCTCCAACTATAGTTGTAACTCCTCCCCAGCGACGACCCGGGCATCGATGAGGTGTTTGAATCGGCGGTACCACGTGTCTTGGGCTTCGTCCCCCTCCCCTAGCTGTTCAACATACCGCACCACTATCGATTTTAGCCAACGACCGAAACACGGTTATCATTAACTCCTCTAAACCTCAATTCATGTTACACACATAACATCAAGTTGAGTGGTTGAGTCGACGTCGTTGAAACCTCAGTGGCTACTATTGAGTGTGGATGCGGGTGTCAATCTGAACTTTTGCCGACTGGACTGTTCAAGGATAGCATGGAGAAAGGCTTGTACGATAGTTTATACTTATAGATATAAAATTCTAGCATGAAATGTGCTTGATATTATTTTTATACTCCTGTTGAGCTGGAGAGTGCCCCCTGCCGTGGTGAAATTGCTTCGATGGTTGTAGTGATCTGACTCTTGAAGTTTAGAAGCTCATACTGTTATTGTGGTTGGGAAGCCTTATTCTCGATATTTATGAATGGAGTCACGTTGATGAAAAAGTCATCATGCCTGGCACAAGTTATTGTTAGCGTTGAACCTGATATACGACCGGACACGGTTAGAAAAACAGGCCGAAGTTTAATGTGTTGTGATGCTGGGTATGGTATCAAGTTGTCGGATTCTTGGTGTTCGGGTTCCTGTGTGAAGGCAAGCTTGGAAATAGCTGTATTATATAAACCACTTAGACTCACTGGGGCATAGATAACTGGGTCTCGGTGGAAGCATGCTGCTATCTAGACATCCTCATGACCCAACTGTCTACCTCGACCCAGCTTAGCATCATTTAATACGCCAGATTTAGTGGCTTCCATGAGAATTAGTCGCTCATAATCATCGCGGCGAACCGTGGCCTTCACAGGAAATGGTTCATCGGCGGATTCTGAATTGAGAATCTTGGAGTTGTAGGAGCCGTCCTGGACGTTCGCGTTAGCCACACAACCGAACGACCTTGGGATGAAAACATTGGAAGGGACAACTCGCCGCTTGGAAGTCAACACACTGTATGAGCCTCGCAATATTGGTGAAAAGTCTTCTCTGAGCCAGGCGATATCCAACACAGATACGCTTGCCGCCGCTAAACTGCCAAAGGCCATGGCTAATATCTGTCTCATGACCATTCATCCGTCGATCTAGGTCAAATACACCAGGGTTCCCGCACCCGCTACCAACTGCCACTCCATTTATTACCAAGCCAGTACCAAGTAGAAACCTATAGCCTTCAAAATTAATATCCTGAGAGGTAACATGGTAAGGTGTGAGGACAAAGATAGGCCGCCAGCGTAACACCTCCTCTGCGCTCTATCAGCTGCATTGTGAGATACATACAGTCTTGATCATCTCCTCTGTATCTCGTGTCTTCGTCAAGTAGAACCTCCCGCACAAAAGACGGTGAAGCGGTTCCCTCGTCGATTTGTTTCTTGATTCGTCGATTTGTTTCTTGATTCGTCGATTTGTTTCTTGATTCGTCGATTTGTTTCTTGATTGGCGCCTACCATGAGTTATACACTTCGTAGTTCCAATCGCCCAGGGATTGCCGATAGGCACGCCGGGGCTGAAGGACTTTGGGCAACCGGGCCAGCTCAGGGAACCACTCAATGATTCTGGAGCCAATTCTCCCGAAGAAAAATGTAACACAATTTTTCAAATCTGCTAGCAACCCAGGCTCTATCGAACCAATTAACTCAAGAAGATTACAATGTATTTAATGCCGAGGCTGATTACAAACATAGTGCCACCAGGAAGTACATCTCACAATCGATTAACCACCAAATATCAAATGAAACCCATGATTTTCAACCCGTAAACCATGGTAAGTTCTATAAGCCTCCCGTGTATATAGAGTCTAACTAGAGCCTTGTGACCCTGGACTTGCGTAGTAAGGCTCATTGGGCATGTACGGGAACTTACGCACCACGACATCGCCCTTGTACTCCCAGAGATCGGTAAACGATGGCTCGTAGGCCAGCTCACACGTCTCCTTCGAGGCGCCAAAAGTCACCACGTCCGTGACCTTGCCGTCACTGTAGTCGACTCGTACCATGTTAATTGTCTCCTGGTTGGGGCCGACCTCGAAGTAATTGGAAGGCATGAACTGGATACCAGAGTGGGCCGTTGTGAAGACAGTTGTGGGAAGATCGCCCTGTAGTCCGTCATTAGCATTCTCAAGTCTCATCTTATGGGTCAAGTGATTGACCCTTGGACAGTTAATCGCTTACTGTGTGGGGGATGTGATGCATGCCTAGGTTGAACCAAACAACCAGATCCGTCTGATTCAGGCTCTCCCCGTCGAAAAAGTCATCAAAGTTGACAGGCGGGTCGTGGGTGTCCTGATTGTTGTACCGGTGCACGCTATGCGGCTCTGTATCCTTGCGCCGTGAGACCATGATATCATGGCGAGCCCAGTTGGAGGCGTTGTGCAACACAGTCGAATTCTCAACTGTGAGGTGGACGGCACCGGTGTATGGCAGAATGCGGTAGCCTCGGGGCTCGCCGAACCGGTTGGGCTCGTCGCGGTTTACAACTAGAACCTGGGCCTGGGCATTGGGAGCCCAGTTGAATCGTCCCTCGTCCTCGTCCTCGATGAATGAACGCTCGATTTTCATCGTATTGAAGACCTTGCCCTTGGACCAGGGATAGGTGGTCGTGTGCGGCACCTGCTTGATAAGCTCGACCGAGTTATCGGTACCGAGGATATCAAAATCAGCCTTGAAGTTGAGGACATGGTCGTGCATAGAGCCTGACAGCTGATCGTGGATGTGGAAGCCATAGTCTTCATTCTTGGCGTAGAAGGCAGCCTGGATGTAACCGGAGGCGCGCACTTCAATGGCGAGAGAGCCGTCCATGAAGAAACTATAGCTGAAGATGTAGTCGTAGTTGCCAAGGGTCGAGATGGAGCGGACCACAAATTTGATGTTCTTGGTTGCCGCGACGTATTTGGCCGCGCTATGACGGGCCAGGGGAAAATCACTCTCAGTTTCAAACAGACAGATATTATTCAGATGGGTGCGGGACGTCTCTGACACGTAGAAGGTTGAGTTCAGGTAAGTGGCGTAGTCTGGGCAGTCGTAGCCCTTGAGCAGCTCAAACGAGTACGGTCCAAAACCATAGTAGCCATCGAGATAGGCAGTATGGGACTGGATGGGGTCGCTACCGGCGTAATGAGAAAGAGCTTCCTCCAGGCCAAGCTCGTAGATGATTCGTTTCCCCTTGTATCTTATGTCGTTCAAGGTCATTCCAGTATCGCGACTGAAGCCGATATAGAACGACCAGCCCATCCACTCAGTATATTTCCGTCTAGGATCAACAGAGTACCTGTCGCCTTGGGGAGCAACAGTAACGGGTGGCGATAAAACGTCCTGAGGGAGGATATCGCCTTGCTGGTCGGTGTGGGCCCAAGGGCCGTCCCAGTTGCCATCCAGCTTCTCGACCTTTCCACTCCAGTAAGCATCGCGGAACTCCTCAGTGGACTCGTAGAAAATGCCATTATAGTACCAACCCTCGACGAACCACTTTGAGGGGTCTCGCCCAGTAGTATCAGACATGAAATAGAGACCCATTGGTGTCATGGAACTGGAAGCAAAGATATCCTGAGGGAGGCTCCAGAAGCCGTCCCATCGCCTGATACGGTCACCGTCCTGGTACAACGGGTCGATGCTACCAATCGCAATGGTGTCGTTGTCAAGCCCTAGCGCGGTTGCATTCCACAAGTCGAGAGTAATATCGGAGACGTTCGCACTAACCTCCAATGTCCACTTCGCGAAAACAGTGTAGACATCAGCGGCAAGATTACGCACGCGGCCTCCGGTCTTCCTTGTGAAGGGATATTCCAATGGCTCCCAATGCGTAGTGCCATTGACAACAGGAAGAGGGCCGACCAGCAAATCTTGATAGTAGGGTTCCTCAGTGGCCTGGTTGTTGATGACTGCACGAGCATACCGGACAGGAGCGGTGCCGTTATTGTCGAGATATGTGAGAGCATCGGTCTTGTTGGGCTGCATCAACTCAACTGAAAGCCTATAGTGATCGTCTTACGTTAGCGGAGGGCGGCCAGGGCACATAACAAAAAGGATTTTACCTACAGTGTGTTGTCCCAGCTTCCAGCATTCTCAACGGTGGTAAGATTGAGGTCCTTCTGAGCGAAGAGCCATGCAACAATGGTGGCGGTTTCTGGCCCCGATAGCTCTCCCCAGATGTTCTCCTTGGGAGCCTCAATGTTGAGGGCATCGCGGACTGTGCAGGGCGCTCTGGGGAAATGAGTCCGCTGCTCCAGGCTGGCAGCTAATGCTCTTCGACCGACAGCTTGACTTTGGCCCGTTGGAGGAGCAAACTTTGGCAAGGCCTGGGAGCAAACTGTCGGCGCCAGAAGGGTAGCCACACCAATGCCTATCCACTTGTGAGGGACCATGTTTTTTACGTTGCTATGTGATGCTGATAGCAGATGGAATGCAAGTGACAACTCTCAAGGGAGAAATAGCCATGTCGTAAGTTTTTGAAAGATGAGACGCTGATCTTATATGTGATCCCAGTGATGTGCCACGGCAACCAGCTACACGAACGGTCGTGAGACCTCTCCACTGACATGCGTCAACCCTCCACTCTTGTGCGGAACAGCCCGCTCGGGCCGCTCAATCGTGCTCAATAGAGTATGGACTTCCAAATGAGCTAAGAGAGCTAGGATCGGCTCAAGGGTTAGGGGTCGGTCGAGTCGAGATTACCATGACTCAGATTTGCCGGCAAACCGAGCAGAGTAGCTTTCGAATCCTAGACCGGAGCTTCTGCCACGTAGTAGACCGTCAAGCTGAACGAATCCAGTCATGATCTGCGACCCAGTAACCGGGTTCAGCTCAACTATTCCAAGACGTTGCCTGCCCATTCGCCAGATGCACATCACAATATGGTCCTGCTTGGCAACCGGCAACGGTTTGTATCCGCTGTGGCCAATAAGACTTTTGAAAAGAGCCGCGCCATAAGCGACCCCCCAGTACTTGCATAGGTGCGAGGAGCTAGAGCAGGTGATGGCCCTCGGTTAAGATGATTACCAGGAATAAACGCCCCTAGGATCGAGATCTGCGTCCTTGGACCTCGATCAGGCACCAAATAGCTACGCTCCGGCAAAATATTGGGCAGAGCTGTGGCTAATCATGGCACGCATGCATACCGCCCTCAATAAACCGCGCTATGACCAATGGCTATGCACCTGCACAGGCCATGCGTCAATGCGAAGTACGGTGGCGGATTGTTGCACGTATCCAGAAGACTAGCGATTGAATGCAGCAACATCCCACTCAATAGTGCAGCTAGGTCCAAGAAATTTCCTGGATGATGATGTCATCCAGTCAGTGGAAAAAACAAATCTCAACGAGCTGCGTGCTCGGCTGCCTCTTTGTGCGTAAGTGGCTTATATTCTTGCGTCTAGGCCAAAGGTCAGGTCGGTAGTTATCACTTGTCTCAGCAGCAACGGGTAAGTCGGATCTTTACCTTGCGAATTGAGTACCTTGAACGTTGTGTTTACTGCTAGGCTCGACTTGTACCTATGCCTTGGCGTCATGAAAGACGGATAGTTCCGGACGACATGATTGATTCAGGGGACGCAACCTTCTTCCATGATGTGGCCATGAATGACGCTAGAAAGACTGTTCGATCGACAGCCCTCTCTTTATCCATGAAAACCTGTTTATCTCGTGGAAATTATCTTCTAGTATTCACATAATGATTTATTTTCTTCAGTCAAATCTCACCTTTGATCCAGCCCAAGGCTATACAAATTTGATCCCAAGAACCCAGTTTCTAGCACTCTGCGTGAAACAAAGCTGTATGAACTATTCATTCGATTTCTTGCATCATCTGGAGCCTCGGAGTAAAATACTGAGGGACAAGGGGTTCTTGTTTCTGGCATGCTTGGTATTGTGATTGTAGCCTACAAACTGACTTCCCAGTGTCAGTACCTTAATAAGAAGACGAAAGTATCAGAGTTGGTGTGCTATTTTTAGCTCATAATTTCGTTCGTAAAACTACCGACCACCAAGTATGTAGCCGTAGCCCTATTACAATATGAGTTATCTCATTCCATTCAATAACAATTCTACAAACGGTCCCTCTCAAATATAAGGATTTCGAATAGACCTTCATTCAGGTAGGTGTATTTTGAGGTAGACCTGAGTCTTCTCTATCAAGTGCTTGCCTAACTCTATGGTGTATCAAACAATTTATTTAACTTAATTTGTCCTAGGACGTCCTTGTGCACTAAACCCTCAACTCCCATTTTCTTTATGGGGTTCTGATACAAATATCGTCAAAGTACTTGCGTTGGATGTTTGCATCGCTGACACTGTCATCTATGGTAGGTACCATAGTACCCTCCAAGATGCCCAAGTCCCTGGACATCCCCCGCTCCCAAGAATTTCTGAAGTAGCTATGGGATCTATATCGATATCTTAGTAACTTGTGTTGGATATAACGCCTACGGGGCATTTGGCTTCCCTTATCGCTTTGTAAAAAGGTGGAAGACTCCCGATTGGCTTCCTATGAACAATCTTTGTATCCGAGTCTGCAACACTGCCCGTGCACTCTTGCGCCTAGATCAACGCCTTCGACACGCAATACACTGTCCGTCTTCGTCAAAATAATGCTCATTCAGCTCATCCTCACAAATGTCATGAGGCTCCCCATCATTGCAAGCATCACAATTCGAACTATAGGCACAATCCCGGAACCATTCTGTTGAGTCTGACCATTCATCGAACAGCCTTCCATTGGTGCCAGGGGTATGCCATCCGTAGGCGATCCTCATTTGCTCCTCGGGATCTATGTCGGGATTGAGAAAGCTACGGTTTGGCTGGTCTCTCGCACATAAAAGCTTACAGTCCACGGGCTTGCACAGGTCCAAGCCAGTTTTCTGCACAAGCACCCATGCAACATTGTCTCCTGGAAGTTCAGATGGCTCATTATATTGTCCATCCCAGCAAAAGGTGTGCATTGCCGGTGTGACATCAAGGTCAAATCGCACAGAGAGAAGACCCTTTTCCATCACATCCTCCCATGATAGACGGTCCTCTGGAATGACAATGATCCAAGACCGGTAACGGTGCCTAAATTCAATCTCGTTCCAAAAGGCTTCCGATGGGCACCATGTAGGGACAATATGCGGTAAGGGCTCCCTTCCTCGGATCTTGGTCCTCATCTTCTCGGCAGCATCTTCCTCCGAGAGACCAGCGACTTCACTGCGTTTCATCTCTTCGCTTGCGCTCTTTCGGAAGGCTTTCTCTCGACGATGGTGTTCGATACAACTCTCGACTGTGTCAAAGCCGGAGTACGTGTCAACACGCGGCCAATGCATGCCCCGCCAGCCTTGATGAATGGCCTCGCAGCCAAGAAATCTTTTCGCCAACTCTTGAACGGCAGGCTCAGTGCGACTTCCAAGAAGGTAGAGTTGTATGCCCAGTTTGGGCACCGCTTTCGTCGCTCGTGGAAAGGTAGGGCGCACTAAGTAGCTCTGGCCAGCGTGGTCTTTGAATTGAAGAATTTCATGGCGAGGACCCTGTTTCGCGATTGCTCCGCCGCCAAGCGACCTGCGAGGACCTTGTTTAGCGCGTGGCATCTCGTAAATGAAATATTCCGACTGGGAACTGGATTCGATGTGATGAGGTTGAAATTGGAAGAGTCGGTTAACGTCCGAGAGTCCCATTCTGAGATTTTAAAAGCCGGATATTACCGCTGATACAGGTCCCAACTATGACAAATTTGTCGAGACCTAGCCGGACTCTCGGCTCTCTCAGGCATCCTCAGGCTAGACTCTGCTTATATATACAAATGCTGATAATAGTTTGCTTGTAAGCTTCGTCGTACAGTACCAACTTTCGTGATAGCTAGTCGCCGCTTGACCGACGCATGTATTCTGTTGCGTGAAAGCGTAGCTTGAGCCAAAATCTGTCGTTGTAAACTATATCATATCTACGAGACTATGACCGAATGTAGGCCCTCGAAAGCACCAAGATCTTCAAATATACATACAGGTAATAATTATAAACTGTTTGTCCTGAATTATGCATCACATTAGGTAGGAAAGCCGGCTCTCTAGGGCCGTGCTTGGTTCTATCTTTGGAGTTGGTTATGGCTTAATGGCTATTCTTTAATAGAATCTTTTCTAGGCAACCGATTAATAATGGCTCGATAAAATTGCATTGAGAAGTACGGTTCAGTATCTAACAATTGGACACACCACCCGCTATTCGGCATGAGAAGGGGAAACTGTTTCCCGAATACACATGCACAGAAGAATCTCGTCAGTGGTATAATCAAGTTAGGAACCCAAAATGAATGTAAAGAGGACATCTTTTGAAACGGTCATGTGAAACATCAATGTTACATGCATATGCATTGTCATATATGGTGTCACATAGTGACGTAACTTGTAGCTTCCATTTATTACACCTGCAGGAATATGTTTGCTAACCCCTCACTTGCAAACAACGCAGATATTCCTACTTGAGAGCCTCTTTTCTCCATCGATTCGATCCTTCAGCAGTTGATTAACCTACTTCGTTGACATTGCTTTTCGCTGATATTCCCATCAAACCAAACACGCAATGTCCGCGCTGGAACAAGTGAAAGAAGACTATAGCAAATTCGCCGAGGTGTACAATAAGTTCCCCGCTCAGCCAGCAGGTATTTTGGAGTCTCAGCTCATCAAAAATGCCATCGGAGATGCATCGGGCTTCGTTGTGCTGGATCTGGGAGGCGGGACCGGAGTTCATGCTCGCGGCGCCCTCGACGCAGGTGCCCGACGAGTAGATCTGGTAGACATCACCCCTCAGATGCTCCAGGTCGCTGAGGAGATCGAGCAGGCCCTGGGACACAGTGGCCGCATCCGTGTCTTCGAGGGTGATGTTTCCTCAGCACTCAGCCATCTCCCACTGGAGCCAGCTTATGACATCGTCATGGCCAACTGGGTCTTTGATCATGCGGAATCTCTAGAGATCCTTGAACGCATGTGGCAAAACGTGGAAAAATATCTGAAGCCTGGCGGTAAATTTGTCGGCATTCGCGCTGCAGATTTGGGCCCTGATTCGCAGACCGAAAAGTACGGTGTGACCTATAACAATTTCAAGCCTATTCTAGGGGGGATAGCTTACACGTTTATGCTCCATGGGGATTGTCCACGGGCATTTGAGGCGACATCTATGGAAGCCAGCTACTCGGGTTCTACTGTCATGCACGAGAAACACGGCCTGACTGATGTGAGGATCATTCCCTTTGACAGTACCGAGATCGTTCAACATCAGGCCGAATTCTGGAAGACATTTCTCGATAAACCACCTTTTGTTGTGGTGACTGCGGTCAAAAAGGGCTAGGCCTAGAACAGGGAAATGGCAATTAATTTCTGATTTTATTGATTCATCTTGTGCAAATTTAATCCTTCGTTTTGAGACAGCCATTTTGTTGTTGTAAATGCTTTTGCGTAGACTTCCGAAGATCTTCTAGATAGTCTCAACCATCCTACTTCTCCGAAGCAAAGAGAATACCGTTACTCTTGCGCATATCTTCCATAGAAGTCAGCACAGCAACACTCAGTGCCCTGAGATGGCCTTCAGCCTCCCTATCTTTCTGCTGAATGATCCGCCCGAGCTCTTTCGCCTCCCAAGTCAAGTTGAGCAATCCGGTATACTCAGGATTCGTATCGGCCAGTTGCTCGCCCTCCTTCGATCCGCGTGGGACAAACTCAATAGAGTTGATGTCCGTCACGCCGGTTGCACCGTTGATTCTAATCGTGCCCTTCTCACAATAGATTTCCGAGGGTGCGGTGGAGGTATAGATCTTGCTTGTCTGCGCATGCACCGTGAATTGCTGCTTGTGCTTAGATGAGTCAGGCGTGTATTGGAAAAGGATATGACCGCCACCGTCCACCCCAGTGCGAATGATTACGGGAATGTATGACTGGCCAACAGGCGTTCCAAAAAGAGCCTGGGTGAACATGACGACATAGCATCCCATATCCCACAGAGAACCTCCACTGAACTTTGGTGAGAGAACGTTGGGCTCCTCGCCCTCAAGAACCTTGGCGTATCGTGACGAGTAAACGGCCATATTGACGCTGGCACCGTAGATGGGGCCGAATTTCTCGTTTCTCGTCTTCTCATCGTCCAACAATCCCTGGAGCTTCTTGAAGTTGGGCTCTTGAATGTGACGGTAGGCCTCCAGAATGAATAGCCCTTTGGAGTCGGCAAGTTTATACAGCTCCTGAAGCTCCTTAACATTGGACGCAAAAGGCTTCTCCACGATAATGTGCTTTCCGGCGTTCAGGCCCTTGATCGCCTGCTCGTAGTGCAGCGAGTTTGGTGAGGCAATATACACGACATCGACATTGCTATCGCCCAGCATGGCGTCTAGGTCGGTGTATGGCTTGACAGAAGGGGCATCCTTGATCGAAGGAGTTTCAGAGATGAACTTATTGGCCGTGTCAAGGCTCCGCGAGTAGACTGCTGTCAGCTTGAACAGTGCGGACTCGTGGGACGACTGCACGAAGGAATTGGTGATCCAGTTGGTGCCGATGACGGCAAGACCCAGAGGAGCTGACATGTTGAAGACTTCTTTGGAACTGGGAAGCTATCGTGTGAATATTGATGGACGCTGATGAATCCTGCGAGTGCGCAGTTATTCGCTTTCCAGGTGGTGCGGGGTGAGAGGCGACCCGCCAAAGAAGTGGATGCCGCCTATGATCTCATATCCTTCGTTACCTTCACCAAATTTTGCTAGTGCAAACTTCTGAGCACGGTTTCTCTCGAAAGTCAGAGTATGGGCGGAATAAATTACTAGTTTGGTCGATTCGGTCAATGTTGGTCACTCGCACCCGGTTCGGCGATATAGGCAAACCGAACTCATCTTCTTCAATCCAATCGCCGCCAACAATGTCGCTCCCTAACTTCAACTTGCTGCCCTCACGGACTCAAAATGACCCCAATACGCCAATACATCCGCCTACATCAAGACTGAATCTGGTGTTGGTGTTTTAGATGCCGAGCTGCAACTTGAATGCGTGCTAGTCTCGCCCAGACTCGTTGGAATACATGAAGGGCATGTCTTCTCTATAGGTGCTGGTATTTTTTCCGGAACTTGTAATTAAGGGGTAAATCAGCGAGGGAAATATAGCTAGGCTCTATAAATGAACGAAGTGTGCCAGGCTGGAAGGTGAACTGTCGGAGCGCTAGCTCATGTCCCGTACTCCCGCCATACGAAGGGAGCAGAGCCGTTTATCTCCAGCTCAGCTTCAGTCCTGTCCATGCTTTCCAAAGCACACCAAACAACCCTCTGAAATTCTGCATCTGAACCATCATCCGAAAATTGATAATCTTGTAAATATTGCTTCCACCTTCGCCAGAGCTCCGGGTGTGACCCGTCGTCGTTGACGATATGGATATCCAACCAAGCTTTCTTCGGTGCATGGATAAACCACATGCAGCCTACCCGCACATCTTGCCTTGTAAGCTCATTGTTATTATGCAGTTGTCTTAATTGGGGATTGTCCCAAGAACTGTTATAAGAAAGGTCCTGGAATTTGATGTCCGCGAGCTGAGCATAGAAGGCTACTAAATTTGCATAGTCAAGATTTCTCAAACGGTCATCATGAGTAACCCTGACTAAGAGAAGATTTAGACAACGCTGACCGTTAAGGGAGAAGATTTAGACGATGGTGATGGCCGCCATAGTGTGTCTAAGCTACTTACAGTTTCTCAGCCATTCTTCAGACAAATGCTCTGAAAATTGAGGCATCCGCGACCAAAATGGTATCCTCCCACTCCCGATATGGAAGCAAAGCACCCCTCCCTCTGTCGGGTCAGGCACGGTTGTCTGCGCTAGGCGAACTGCAAACTCAACAAGCTTGGATTGCTGATCATATGGTATACGCTTGGCTAATGCAATCAGAGTGGCAGTTACGATATTCGCGTGCCCAGAGAGCGTATCATTCTGGCCAGCTGCTCTAGTCAAAGCGACGATTTCCTCTACTGCGCTCACTGTAGAGACGTCATCCCGGTTGACCATCCTAAGGAGGATCTCGCGTGATGGATGTGGGTTGATCTATTTCGGCTGGTCAATATCTATTTTTTCTCACTAGAGATGTTTGAGACCAAGCCTACAAAATCATCGATGGTAATTTCCGGGTTCAACACCTGGCTTTCGGAAGTTTGAGCCATTGATGATAGAGGTCTTGTCCCTCGGAGGCAAATTGCAGATGGGAGGTGATGCTTAGCTAGGCACAGGCATGTACGTACGAGGCGGGGTAATAACCCGAAGAGTCCCGACGGCTAGGCGATCATATACGGTAGTATCTTAGCATGCCGCATGCCGGCAGTGGTAGTTTGCTTCCGTGGAACGACAGAATATTGCCTCTCATATAGCGAGAGATTATTGAACTTCTGTCGATTTTGTTGTCGTATGTCTTTTTGACGCTCCACGTGAGACCAGGCCTTCCAAACTTCCAATATAACGGGGATGCCGGTCATGTGTCTAGCCTTGGGTACACTGGCCATGTTGACATCGAGATAGGTGCGTATCCTTCAGCGTGCTTAACTTACGCAACACCACTGGCAGCATCACTAAGCCCAACGGTACCGAGAGCCCATAGTTTGGATTTACACGTCAGCATCTGTAAGATCAGAAGTTTTTGTTCTATTTTGTTGTGTACTGCAAGACAGATCCGTAGCAGAGAAGGTTAGAGAGACATCACGTAGCAAGAAGAGAGGCTCAGTGACCCAAGTGCATACATATTTATATTCAGCGTTTTCAAAGAGGTCCTTAGACTATTCCTTTGATGAAGAAGTTATATTTCCCTCGCTGAACACGCCTAGGAGTCCTAGAGTTTGGAAGTGATGATGAAGTTAGTATATTTCGTTTTAGAATGTTTTTATGAAGGCTAGGTTCTGTATTTTCCCTATCCCTTTCAAACTCGCTGATCGAACGGGTATAGGGTTGGGTTTATGCCAGAGTTTAGTTTGTGGGGCAATTGTGCCTGTCATAAGATGAGGCAAGTCAATGCTTTGAAAATGCCGTGAGATTTACGTAAAATGCTGTAAAAACTCGGTCGCCCCCGGCCGAGAAGCGGCGCTAGTGCTCTTCATTCATCCCCTGGAAAAAGAAGAAAGGGAATAGTGTCGATTAGCTAATCCCTAGGTCTTCTGTTCTACGCCTAATAAATAAGAAGGAGTCACCGCCTGTTGAAACGATTTGCGTTCCTTCACCAACCCAACCCAACTACACTGAAGTCTTAGCGTTTCGGGCAAGACTGAGTCTCTCTTCCAGTTAGTGATTACAGACACTTACCGCCCTTCAGGGCTCTCTTATGGCCATTGCTCATCACAATGCAGAGGACAGCTGCCTAAAAAACCAGACTGAGCCAATTCAGGCTGAACTTTTATTTACCCCTCCCCAACCTCGAAAAGAGTCACCACGGTTGGAGACCATCGAATACCGCAACCAAAACTCTCAACCCATCAATAGCCAAGATGATGCCGAGAACTCCTCTAGGCTGTCTGAAGACCTCTCCTATCCCGAGGGTGGTCTACAGGCCTGGATAGTAGTCTTCGGGTCATTCTGCGCCATGGGTGCCGTTTTCGGTCTCATTAACACCAGCGCTGTGTTCGAATCTTATTTCAAAGAAAACCAATTGAGTGCATACACCCACTCGGAGATCGGATGGATATTTAGTCTGTATCTTTTCCTTGTCTTCTTCGTTGGCATTCTGGTCGGCCCGATCTTTGATCGCTTCGGGCCCCGTTTCCTTGTTGGTGCCGGTTCGATACTGATCGTGGCAAGCTTAATGCTGTTAAGCCTCGCCAAAGGTGAGTTGATCAGTCTTTGCGTCTGAATAACGAATCTCTAACACTGGTGTCTTGAAGAGTACTATCAGATCGTATTGACTTACTCTGTAATGGGTGGGATCGGTGGCGCTTTGTTGAACTGTCCTGCCTATGGTGCTATCGCTCACTTCTTCAACAAGCGACGTGGCTTTGCTACAGGCATTGCATTCACCGCTGGAGGCATCGGCGGCATCATCTTCCCCCTATTACTGCAATTCCTCCTATCAGACCAGGGGGTCGGTTTCGGCTGGAGCTGCCGCATCATGGGTTTTATAATGCTCATTCTTTGTGGTTTTGCGAATCTCTGCATCCGTAGCCGACTCAATTCGGCCAATACAAAGGAAGAGGAAATTAAGTTATCATCAGTCCTACCTGATATTACAATTCTCCGGCACAAGGGCTTCGCTATGGCTGCCCTGGGCATCTTCTTTATGGAGTGGGGGTTATTCGTTCCTCTGACATATATTGTGTCATATGCCAAAAGCCATGGGAACGGGGACGCGGCCAGCTCGGTTCTACTTTCTTTATTGAATGCAGGGTCGGTCTTGGGGCGTTTCCTTCCAGGGCTGGTTGCAGATAAACTCGGTCGTTTCAATGTGATAATTGTAACGATTGGCCTCTGCGTGACCACCATACTAGCCATGTGGCTCCCCTCGGGCCACTCTAAGCCGACGCTGATGGCTTTTTGCATCCTGTTTGGTTTTGCCAGCGGAAGTAATTTGGGATTAACCCCGGTTTGCATCGGTCAATTCTGTGACTCGCGAGACTACGGCCGGTACGTCACCACAGCGAATATGATCGCCAGCTTCGGCACGCTGTCCAGTGTGCCCATTGGTGGTGCCTTACTTGGCCTCGGTGAGCAGACTACTGGGTGGATGGCCTTGATCATCTTCTCCGGAGTTTCGTATGTGGTGGCGATGATTTGCTATATCTACGCCCGTGTATCCGTCACGGGATTGAAACTACGAGCCAAATTTTAAGTTGAGATGCTGGAATGAATTTTCTGTTGGGCCAGCGGGGTTTTTTATCCGACCTAGAGACTAGGCACGGTTTTCCCTAGACTGCCTTGTAGACTGGGGTTGAGGTTGTGCTTTGATGAGAATGTCAAAATATATACTTTTTGCAACTTGTGTGTTTTCTCTCATTCTCTAATTAAGTCGTCCGCGGCAGCATTCAAATGATCGTAGTCTGTGATATTGTCTTCATAAATCCAAGTTTGGGTGCACATAGAACAACTCCCAGAATCAATCCTGTTTTAACTCAGCTAGCAAGCAATGCATGCTTGAAGTCTTTGACTTCCGGAGGCCATCACTACAGGCAACGTAATTGTATTTTTTTTTTTGCTTTTACTCAGTGAGTCCATTCTATCTAGATGGATGGATGCTTTTCTTCTTTCGTAAAAAGGTTTATGAGGGAGCTAAGGGCCAAAGCCAGATACTACCTATCCGGATGAAACCGATACACCTTGCGTCAGCTCCCGTCTTCTGAGGCACAGCTCTTCACTGAGCCTCGCTAAATCTGCCACGAGTCCCAAGTCGTGAAGTTTGTCCCAGACCTGATGCCCGCGTTCCAAGTCATCACCCTTGCTTGTCAAAATAGTCTGCTCAAGGCCAAACACCTTGTACCTGCCGCTCTCTGAAAGCCTCTCCCATGGGTCCTCTCCGCTTGCAAATCTAATCCATGCCTCAGTCATATGCTCGGAGACCTCTGCATATGACTGTGGCATCTCGTGTCTCAATAGGCCCCATACTAACACGTTGTCGAAGGAATGATGCGCCATCCCACCCCATGCATTTTGAAACGGCGAGGGGACGTCGAAGTGGTAGGCGAATATAGACCCTTTCGCCGCTTGCCGAGCAAAGTATACTGGGGCAGAGAACAGCCCATGAGTTGTCAGTTTCTCAAGTTTCATAAAAAGATCCTTCTCGGTAGTATCTGAAGTGATGCCGTAGATCTCAGAAAGCATTCGGGCCTTGGTTAAACCAAGGTAGGACTCCATCTTGGCTAAAGTCAATGCTGCAGTAGGGGTTGTCAAATCCTCACCAGGGGCAAGCGGAGATTCGCAAATATTCTCCCATGACTTATTCCAAATGATACACTCATTTGTTGCGTCCCCCATCATCACCCGAGGACACCATTCGGGCACGCTGAATGTATTATACTCATCATACGAAGGTACAGAGCCTGGCACAAAAACTCCATCATCACAAAGGGGCGATGTGACTACCGGAATAATAAATGCTGGAACCATTGCCTTCGTTAGAGCTGAGCTATCTGCAGCAAGCAGGCGTTCGATGCGATCCTCAGGCTTCAAGTCGATAGGAATATCCAGAGCTTGTAAGACCCTCTCGTAGACAGCCTGATACTCGTCAATGGATAATACTCCACAAAGTTGAATGAGCCCAGACTGAAGAATCGCACTGGAAAATAAGGGCTCTCCACGGAGTAGGTGAGCATGGACAGATACCGCACCAGCACTTTGCCCAAACAATGTGACTTGTTTCAGGTCACCGCCAAACGCAGAGATGTGCTTCTGAACCCAACGAAGAGCAAGCACCTGATCCCAAAGACCATAGTTTCCAACACCTGCATCGCCATGGGAACTATTGTATGTTCCTATGTCTTTGCCTGCGAGGAACCCATAAACACCTAGTCTGTAATTCACTGTAACCACAATGGTTGGTCGGCAAAACTTGGAGGTCGAGGATTCCACCAGAATTCGCGAGTCGTAAATGGGTGACGAATTCATAGAGTAGGTGAACGCACCGCCATGGATGAAAACCATAACAGGCAGTGGATTATTCACTTCATCAGTGGGCAAATGAGGAACCGAAATGTTAAGATTCAAGCAATTAAACTCGTCAGCCTGAGGCATATCCAGCCAGGGGCGGGGAGCATTTGGGACTGGATAAAAGTCCCGAGGCGGTTGTGGACAGTAAGGCCTAGCAGCACCGGCGAGGTCAACATAAATTCTGTGAGGCGAAAGGAGATTGAGATAGACTTACCCCAGCTTCGTTCCATCCCAGTTGTCATTCTCCCAGGGCTCAGACGCGGGAATAGAACGCCGAAACCGGCCTGGGACAGAAGCATATGGGATACCAAGATACTGGCATGTTTTTCCGTTTAATGAGATCCCCTTTATCGTCCCCAGGCCTCTAACTTCTAGAGACACCTGGCCGATACTTGGAATTTCGTCCGACTTCATTCTTGTGCCTGAGAACGGGGTCCCTAAGACAGAGATGATGCGACTTAGGCGTATTCCTTGGGTGTGCCTGGTCTAACATGAAGCCGAGGTAGAGTAGGGCAATAATGGTATGTCTTGAGTGATGATTTTAGTTGTTTATTCAAGAGTACTCATACGTAAATAACAAGGCTCTGCGAGGTTCGAAATGTCCGGGCAGTTGCGTTGCGATCATGGTCTACAACCTCCACAGTCTATTAGTTAAATCCGGCGTCCAACCGGAGATGGAACGGCCGGGTCTGAGCCGGAGCCGTTACCGGTGCCAGAAACCGTTCGTTTTCGAATCTCGGCTTTGATATCGGGTTTAGCCTTCATGTCGGGTTTGGCCCACGAATCTTACCCGCCGAATATAGCCTGCGCCCGCTTTCCTTGCCTTAATTGCAATAGTGTGCACTTGGGTTATGAAAATCGTGTCTTTCCGGAATCAAAAAAGCTTTGGATTGAATATTTGCTGTCTTATCAGAAGGAACTATCGCTAATATCGCTACTGCATAGTTTCAACAACATGGCACCCGCAATTCTCCAACTCGAAGCTGATGCTTCGTCACAAAATTATGTTGCTGCAAAGCAGCTCGCCCAGTCCGATAGCCCCTCCCTTCTTCACCGGTCTTTACTAGAGAAGCCTCACAGGGTGACCAGGGCCAGTGGAAGTTATCTCTACCTCGAAGATGGTAGGAAAATACTGGATGCGTGCGGAGGTGCCGCGGTTGCCATCATCGGCCATGGAAACGCTGAAGTTGCACAGGCAGCTCTAGATCAGATGCGCCAGGTCAGCTATGTGCACACACTCTCTTATACGACTGACTCGGCTGAAAACCTCGCCCGAAGCGTCCTGAAACCTGATGACTCGGGTTTTGACCACGGGTTGGTGAAGGCATTTTTCGTGGGAAGTGGAAGCGAGGCCAACGACGCGGCAATGAAATGTGCCCGGCAGTACTGGTATGAGAAAGGACAAACACAGCGCCGTTATTTCGTGTCCAGGCTACAAGGCTATCATGGCAATACGATAGGCGCCATGTCAGTTTCGACGATGGTCGGACGCAAGATTCCCTACCAAGATATTTTACTTCCTCATGTTTCCCATGTGAGCGCAGCAGATGCTTACCATGGCTTGAAGGATGGAGAGACAGAAGAGGAGTTCACTCAACGCCTTATCTCAGAGATCGATGCAGAATTTTTGAGGCTAGGACCGGAGAACATTATCTCATTCATGTACGTTCTTCGATTCTTCGATTTTCCGAAAGAATGTGTTCTAAATAACATACCTACAGGGCGGAGACTGTTGTTGGAGCTGCGTCAGGCACGATGACGGCTCCAAAAGGTTACTGGTCGGCCGTACGAGACTTATGCAGCCAGTATGGAATTCTTCTTCATCTGGATGAGATAATGTGCGGAATGGGCCGTACTGGAACAATGTTTGCCTTCGAGCAAGAAGGAATTCAGCCTGACATCGTGACTATTGGAAAGGGCCTTGGCGGAGGTTATTCACCCATCGCAGCAATGCTTATCAACAGTACTATTGTTGACAGTCTTCGGAAAGGGACGTCAGCGTTCAACCACGGGCAGACCTACCAAGCCCACCCTGTATCTTGCGCTACCGCTCTCGCTGTTCAAAATATCTTGAGACGAGATGGCCTTCTCGAGAGGGTGAGATGTCTCGGTTCAAAGTTACACGACATGCTCTCGACAACATTTGCAGGATGTGATTACGTTGGCGACATTCGGGGCCGGGGCTTGTTCTGGAGCCTTGAGTTTATGGAAAATAAAGCCCAAAAAAGCCCCTTCCCCAGAGAATTCCATTTTGGCCCTCGCGTCCAGCAGGCAGCTTTTGACATGGGCGTAGCTATCTACCCTGGGTCAGGTGCTATCGATGGTCTGAACGGTGACCATGTAATATTTGCTCCACCATACACGACCACAGAGGAGGAACTCGAAGTTGCAGTTTCCAACGTCAAAAAGGCCTACGAGGAGGTGGTTGCATCCTACTTTAGTCTAGAGCATGCTATATAAAGTATGAAAGCAGGATGGCGCGAGACACGGAAATGGAAAACAACTATAGCATTGGTTCCTCATACATGTCAATTGATATTTTACTTGTTCGAGAGAGACGTATTTGTTAAATTGAATGATCTAAGCCCGAGTTGAAATGTCTGGTTTGGATTAACCCCTTATCGAACATGTCTTATGGCCCACATCCTTTCTATCAAACTAGCTTCGACAGGATATCCCCTTTTTTTCCAGCCGCAACTTACAGCTCACCTAAGGACATGTTATAATCGAACGGTACACCCTCGATAGCGAAGGGAATGAAATCTTGCTCTCCCCACAGTGGCCATGTTTGGTTCCAATCTCTGTTTGCAGCCGCATCATCCTGTGTTACACTTGTTTGCTGTGTGTTGTCGAACCCAGACAGCTCCTGCAGGCTAAGAGCTGCAGCAGTCTCATTGTTTGTGGTAGAGGTGATCTCAATGTCATCAACGCTGACTTCAGGAGACATGTAGTCTCCGATTGTTGGTGGCTGGCCTCTAATGTCGTGAATCGAGAACTCCAGAGCGCTAAAATCCTCACGAGTTCTACCCCGAAATTGGCTGTGGTCTTGGCGAGCACTGTTGTAAAGTTGCTTGCAATGGCCGATAGTAACCCACCACCCCTTGCCCATGGTCCAGATGCCCCTGAATTTGTACAAGAATTCGATGTTCTTATTTACGGCATGAGGTGAGATACGATTCCTGCCCAAATTCATATTTGGGAACGAAGAGACATAAAGGTTCATGGTAGCTGCTGAGAAGGCACAGAATCCGGGAAACGGCGTATAGAGAGGTTCGTTGGCGTCTTCAAGATTTCTGAGCAGAGAAGCTATATGTGCCGCAGACGTGAATATTTCATCAGCTCTATCCTGCCACCAACCTGCTGGTGCTGGAAGTGGTAAGAGTGGAGGATCAACAGGACCGTTGGGCTCGGAATCTGGGGTGGGAATAAATCTCAGATATTCCCGACCCAGGAATAAAAGGCTATTACAGTTAATTATTTCCTCTCATTGAAAGCGCCTGTCAGGTAGGTCTGGCTCGATAGATTCACTCTTACCTGACATAGTATATCAGATTCACGTACGCAAATCTCTCAGCCGTACCAAGCGCCGAGTGTCCCTCTAAAGACGCTTCAGGATAGTGAAGGCGTTTCTCTTGCCGACCTCGCCATGTCATTAGTTCGTCATAAAGAAGCTTCCACCGAGATCCTGCTACCCATGGATGGTTTTCCGGCAGAGACATTCCCGGCAATCGTCTCCCGCCACTGACCACCCAGGAGAGAATACGAGCCCAAATGTCGAAGCCTCTGACAAGAATCCCATAGTAATGGTTCATGTCACCTTCCATATTTTCCAAGGGTCCTCGCTCTTCATTCGTTAAAGGAGCGTGGCCAGAAGATTCACCAAACGCGAAATCATCTTCGGACGTTGGCCAATGTGTTTCCATTGAGTAGACAGACAATGCGAAAGGCTGAGTCTTTCCGCAGTGAACGAGTCTATCCATAATAAAACACGCCCATAATGTGCGGTTATGAACCTCCTTCTCCACTGCTGCAAGGGAGGCAACCTGCACCATGACTCGAAGGGACTGCATCATCCTTGTCGCCGCACCGCTGTACATCCAAGCACGGTATCCGTTTCCCATACCCCACTCGTACATGGACAACGTCAAGAGTGCCTGGACAGTTAGCAAGTCTGGAGGACTTGCAATTGAGACACAGCCCCTAGCAAAACTGGCGAAAGCCTCTGGCGGATAAGCATGTGAAAGCTCATGCGTAATAGGTAGGCATAGCGCTACGATTGACGCGCATAGCATGTGAATGGGTGATGACTCACTGCAAGTTCGCTGAAGGAACTTGATCCGACCATTTTCTTCGATACTATGAACATATTTGGATAACGTAGGCGAGTGAACAAAGCGGAACTCTGGGAATTTGGAGGAGAATGTCTTGAGTGCAGCCATGACAATAAAACTGTCAACCGCAAAGCCTTTCTCATGATTACCATTTACTAAGACCCGCAGCTCGGAGGTCTGGGTAGAGGGAGTATCGGCTAGAGTGGAATGAATATTACGGCGACTCTGATCTATATCTCCCGATGGGGTACTGCATCGTGTCAATCTGGCGAGTTCTAAGCCGTGAGGTTTATATTCGCTTTACGTACGCTGGCATACGCTTCCTTTTCAGCTCAGGCCCGGTGAGAAGGCATTCCCCAGAGCGCGTCCGACCCTTCTTTTCGCAATTTTGGCATGGTGGTGAGCCTTCATGGACGCACTTGATCTTAAGTTTGCTGGATGGATTCGGAGTGTCAGCATCTCACCAAGTACAGGCAACTCCATTATCCGTCAAAACATGAACAATACCCAAACCTACCGGCAGTGGGAACATGCGATTGTTGTCCGAACCATATCTGTTGTCCCTGTGAGATGCGTGTTTTGATTGTTGTCGAGAGAAGGAAATGCGAAAAGGTGGATTCTCCTCGGACAAACATCGCATTTGAATTGGAAATTTCCGTAGTGTCCCCGTCGGGTTTCGCATCTGAATTTGCGGCTTTAAGCGATATGATTTTCTTATCAGTGCCGTTCGGTGTGCCTCATCAACTCAGCTGATACTACCATCGAGTACTAACACTCCCACCATGACTTTGACATAAACACCACGTTAGTCCTGTTTCATAAGTAAAACGCCCCGCTTGTTAATGTCGGTACTTCTTTGGCGCGTAGCTAGAACCACGGTGGGTGATATGAAATATTAGACACTCAAACCTTGCTAAGGTACATTCCTTATTTTCATGTCAGCGAACAGTACTGTTAGAGTATTGAGGGCTAAGAATAAATTCTAAAGAGATAATACACTCAATGTTATTTGTATATATATTGTTTGATCCTGTCTCCTTATTTTAGTCATGATAGAAAAAGGCCTGCTCATTACCACCTTTCAGTTTGATCTCTAATTTCTCCTGTCACCAGGAGCTTCTTGTCGTGAAGTACCGTTACAAGCGGATGGGCGCGCTACTGACCCATTTGGACTAACATGGTGGTTTTATCAAAATCGTGGTAGAAGTGTTATGTTGTAGTACTCACTCACTTCATGCCAGTCCTATTCCCAATGCTATTTCCGACGACCCTCAAAGTGCCAAGGATGTCTTATCTTCATACTCCTCGCCTAATAATAATACCCGTATCATCCCGGCAAATATTGGTGGACTATGAATGATACTCTGTGATAATCATCAAGTTATAAATGTACCTTGTGCATTTCTTTTCTACTGATACATTGCATTGAGTAATTAGCCTTCTGCGTGAGCTAAGATCCAGTCATGGACCAATCCAAAGGCGTGAAGGAGCCTTCGAATACCAACAATGGCACAAGCGACTTTGAGAAAGGGGAGGTCTTGGACAAAACCGCTGATCTTGGCCTGCAGTTTCTCGAAAAGAATGGCCCTGTTGAATTTACACGGAGAGAGGAGACAACCGTGTTGTGGAAGATTGACCTCTACTTGCTGCCAATTGTAAGTGTGATATATGCTCTTTTGATAACAAGCGAATTTATTTAGTTTTGGTAACTATATTAACATCATTATTCCAGCTAATGCTCACTTTCGGCCTCCAATACCTCGACAAAGTTACGATATCGTATGCAGCCGTTTACAACATGAAGAAGGACTTGAATCTCGTCGGCCAGGAATACAGCTGGGCCAACTCCATTTTCTACTTTGGATACCTCGTTGGTGAATTTCCAGCCAACTACCTTCTTCAAAAGCTGCCCATCGGCAAATTCAGTGCTGGATGCATTTTTATATGGGGTGTTTTGGTCATGCTCTGTGCAGTTACCAAGAACTTTGCCAGCCTTGCCGCTGTCCGATTTCTCATGGGTTTCTTCGAAGCTGGCATCCCTCCCTGTTGGATCTATATCACATCCATGTTTTACAAGAAGAGTGAGCAGGGGCTCCGATGTTCAGCCTGGTATTTCATGGTTGGTATCGCCGCGATTGTGGGTGGCTTGCTTGGCTATGGCGTTGGCCACATTCACACCGCCGTGAAGCAGTGGCAATTCGTCTTTCTCATTTGCGGTGGCTTCACTGTTCTTTGGGCATTCGTCATATACTTCTTTTTACCCGATTCCCCGTTACAAGCCTACTTTTTGACCGAAAGAGAAAAGTCTATTGCTGTGGAAAGGCTTCGCGAGAATAGAACGGGAATCAAATCGACCAAGGTCAAATGGGATCAGGCACGAGAAGCACTGACTGACCCCCAAGTCTGGCTCTTTGCACTATGGAGCGGCATCAGTCAGATTCTGAACATTGGAGGTAGCTTTCTACCGCTGATCATTCAGGACATGGGCTTTACCGGTCTGCAGACCACTCTCCTGACACTCCCTGTTGGCGGCGTCGAGTGCGTTGCAATGGTGGTGGCCGGTGGACTCTCATCCTACTTTGGCAAGGGCCGCACTATCATCATGTTTGCGGTGGCATGCCCAACTCTTGTCGGTGCTGTTCTGCTTGAAAGGTTACCTCTGTCTAGCACCTGGGCTAGGGCCACCGGTGTCTGGCTGCTTCTATGTATTCCTGCCTCATACGCCATAATGTTGAGTTTGATTGCATCCAACATCGCTGGCACAACCAAAAAGGTCACTACAACTTTGCTATGCTTCGTATTCTTCTGCGTTGGGAACATTGTGTCTCCACAACTATTTCTCTCAACAGAAGCTCCAACCTACGGGACGGCGATGCGGTCAATGTTAGTTGCGATGGCTTTGACCCAACTCACGACCCTTTTGCTTGGGGTTTATTATGTCTACGAAAACAAAAGAAGGGATACGATGCTCTCGCAGACCCCACAAGATGTTATTAACGCTGCGACAGTCTGCAATGAAGAATTTCGTGACCGCACTGATAAGCAGGACTATCTACGGTTCCGGTACGAATGGTAGAGATCGAGCAAGAGGCTCTTACCAATAAAATGGACTCGATACGTCGAAACGGACTCAATTCAAAGGACTCGATGTTTATTTTATGGGGGTTCTGTATTCAACACATCCCTGAGCTTTATTGTAGACTTGGATCAGTTTTTCTCAGCAATATACGAGAGTATCGTCATCGTCTTAGTGCCATCTCGAGGTCAACCTGGAGATAGTTTTACTCCTCTCTCTACCAAAAATGGGAATAATCGGAGCAATATCCAAGTAATCATGCTGCGACTGGCCGAGTGCGGCGGTGCTCGTCTTTGATACGTGAGCAGCAAAGTACAGTACTGCCCTATTCCCGTTCCGTCGACGTTCACATCAACTCTTTTGACCCGTAACCGCGAGGAGGACATTTGCCTAAGTCTTTCCATCTCGTATTTGAGAATGCTCTAGGGCTAGGTAATTAGAAACATCGTATTAAGAAGGTTCAATTTTGAACTCCAAGTTTGCATCTCGTTCCACTCCCAAATAGGAAAGACGTCCGAGAAAATGTCTATATATTGATAAATGAGTTTGCATTCTCACTAGTTGGCTGGCTACGGATGGGGTGAATACTGAATCACACAACATGGCTGAATATCCAGCGTGATACGATTGCGACTGGATGTATTTTCTCAGCACATCGTAGAAATCAGGGCTCTCAAGCCATTCCTTTGATGTCTTCGGTAGAGTTGGAGGCAATGGATTACGACCGCGTGGTAACTTTGCCACTGCAGCTGCAAATCTAATGTTTAGGCGCGAACCCTCTATCAAGCTTTCGGGGTGGTCCTTGGTTTTCTTATGACTACCTACGTATCAAATGATGTCAAGGTGGCTATATCGTACGTGGCCCCAAAATGTACGTTTTATTAAAGCTATTTGGGCTAACCCGGCTTTTCTTTTCTATCCCTACTCACATCCAGGGCGACTGCAAATAAGTCTAGCACTTCGCCGCTTGTCGTTATTTCACGACAAGCTCTTCTCTCTATTCTCGAGATACACAACGCGGCTCCCAGCCCAATCAGGCCGAATCATATCCCTCAATATGCGTCTTTTCGGAGTTCTAGCAGGGCTCGTACTCTCAGGTGCTTTTGCCAGTGTAGGTGATCATTTCGCCTACCCAAAAGAAAAAAATAGTTTTTTGTGCTAAATACTCTTTCTCAGGCTGATTCTGAGAAAACCTTCGACGGAATGGAGGTTGTCGATGCCAAGTGGAATTTTACACTCACGCCCGGTGGTCAGGCTGTGCAACTTACAGGCACTATTCAACAGGTCTACCCTCGGCTTCTTGAGCTTAACCCTACCTATGAGGCAGACTGGGCTGGAAGCAGGGAGGATAATGTGGAGTATGACAACATTCTTCCTGAAGACGAGGATGATGGAGAGACAGAAAACCCTGCTGGCGCCCTGTCGGCTAGAGCTTGGAAACTTGGACGTCTTGACCTAACTCCAAAAACCCATCTTAATCGCTGGTATTGGGCTATGTGGCAACGGGCCATCCCTAGATGCAGAGTTAGAAGTTGGGCTCAATGCAAACCCATCAGGGAGGGAATAGACCACTTGTTTAAGGCCGCGGGAACGCCAGTGGTTGGTGCAGGGAAATGCAGCCAAATCAGCTGTAAGTACACCCCACTTCTAGAGAGTATCATCTCAGGGTTCCAATACTAATCACGCCCATAGGTGCGAACAACTCTGCTATCATCTGGTGCAATGTAGCTCAAGAGGATCGGATTTTGCCCCAATATAACCTAATTGCTCTAGGCGCCCAAATTATCTGGGAGCAGTGCCGGGAGAAGGAAGGAAGGATGTACGAAAAGCGTGGGCGACGGTGCTATATCCGTGGGAGAATCTATCCCTGGTGGAACCAGTGGTTTGTCCAGATTCTTGGGGTGAAATCCTGCTACTAAAGGGAGCGAGAGGCTGCTGGCAAAGGGACAAGGGCGGGGGAGAAGAAAAACAAGATAACAAAAAAGCCATATGAATGCATAGCAGTTTCAAGCTCACGGCGGTTTATCTTGATTCAAGTTCATTGACTTCACTACCTAGCAAAGACAGAGTGCCCTCGTCAGGTATTTGCCCGAAATAGAACTAGGTCGACAGTACCAATACATCCACTCAACCATCACCAACGGACAGAAATTGAATACTAGTAACGTGACTAGCACCGAATTCTACAATATAAATGGTTTTGCGACCTCTGTGACTGACTATCTTGCCTCTCAACGCAGGGTCGTCGTTGAGTCATACATCACCAACTGCCTCATCCTTGCCAGGCTAGCCACCCCCATATCTTCCGCCAAGAACACGATTCCCGCTAACCCCGACTCTACCTTTTGCAACAGCTTCGCTCAGACCTATTCTGTCACTTCAACAGCAAAAAAAAAGTTGGTCTCAAGTGACTAGATGTACTTCGTTAAGTTCTACCGGATGGCCGAGCGGACTTTGCGCGAAACGACTCACGGTGTCTATTCTAAAATAATGAGTTAAGTGAAACTAACCTCATGGAGAAAAGGAGATGATGCTTATCTCCGACAGAGGGGTGCAGGGATAATCCTTTGCTTACAGTTGGGGATCTATAAGATACCAGACAGTAAGCCTTCCCGCTAACTCCATCTTTCACTCTTAAAAAAAAACCCTGACCTAGTATCCAAGATTCCACAGAGCAAATACAGAAAACTAAACTTGTGGAATTTTATAAGGGGGCAGTCCGCTATATGAATCATGTCATCCACGATTCCACTCTTCTACCGATTCATCTTCCTATGGTATGAGCCATTGAGCGCAGCTTACGGTGTTTACCTTACTCTCGTCACCCCCAACGTTTATCTGGGACATTATTTTCCACACAACTCTACGACCTGGAATCATGAATACGACTTCTGGTTTGGCCAGATGGCCGCTGCGTTTTTCTACGTCGCCACCAGCCAGGCTATTCTGTTTCGCTATACAAAGGACATCGGAGTGTGGAAGATCCTCAATGCCTGTCTCGTAGGCTGGGACATTATCTTACTATACAGCTACTGGATTGCATCTAGTGCCCAGGGCAGGGGTTCTCCCCTCCAGTGGCTACCTGGAGAATGGACGAAGTGGTCTCTTACATTTGGCCTCGGACTCATTCGGGCTGCGTTTGTTTTGGGGGTGGGGCTCAAGGAAGGAAAGTCATCTGCCAAAACGCTTTGAAGTATCCCATAGAGAGTACGTATAGTAGGATTCCTCTAGATCATCCAGGTCATAAGCAAAGTGCTAACGATAATGGGGTAGCAAGAGAGTCCATTCGGAAGATTGGATATTTGTCTTGACTCACTCTCTTGCACGCAGCGTTATATCAGAATAGGCTCGTGTAGTGAAGGCTGGCGATCGTCTGGATCTCATCAGTCTATGGATGCAACCATCCCTAGCGTGAGCAGGGTATGTATATGGAGGAAAATGTGACGGAAATCAATTGCACATGTTCCATATCGTAGCCATGATTCAAATAACAAGCCATTAGTCAATATATCAAAGTTTACGCTCGCTCAGACGATTTTTTGTCAAATGGCCATCCGTTAACTCGTCATGAACCAAAAGAGGAGTAACAAACAATATAGAAGATTCCTTGACAGCACAATAGGTTTCATTATCAGTCTGTTGATATTGGTCTCAATATCTCATATCTATCATGAATACTGCATTGTCCCTACTCTGCCACAGATAGAGGGTCATATGCGCCAATGGCTTTTTCATCCCAGAGCGTGCCTTCAAGTATATGCTTCCTCGCCCACATTTCCACCGAACGTGTCTGACAAGGCTCTCCCAATATAGGAATGCCGAGTTCGGCCATCCAGGCTTCAGGCGGTGTGTCAACCGCTCGCACTCGGATACGCTCTCCAGGATCCAATGTATTCCAAGCGGAGCGAAAACCCAGCATTGACGGCTGGACGCCTGTCATATCGACGTTGATATACGTTAGTGGGCGTATTGCCCCATTGTATACATCCTCGGTGATGGCATGACCGGCGAGTGCGGCAATCCATCGGCGCTTGATATCCCCAGGGTCCAAGCGATGGTTGCCATCAGGTCGACCCGTCATGACAACTTCCAAATTGGGGTTTCGTGACACATCGGTCCAGAAATATTTCCCGATTATAGGGTTGAAGAGATATAGGCGACGAAGTTTCGGCCAGCACGTTGCCCAAACCTCATCCTGGGGATTTGCAATGCGGTCCAGGGCGGTTACCAGAAACAGTTCGTCCTGGACACTAGCAAACTCCTCAAGGTTCACGAGTGACTCGAATCCACGCCGCAAGACAGCTTTCACTCCTAATTGGTCCTCTTCTGGGTAGAGGTTGCGGAGAGGGATGTTCACCATGAGCCTCCGTAGTGTAGGCGCAACTGCAATGAAGATGTCGTGGACGGCGGTCGCCACTGGCAGATCGTTGGCTTGAGGGTGGGGACGGATGAGCACGAAATCTTCTTCGTCATCTTCATCCTCCTCGTCATCTTCATCCTCCTCGTCGGCTCCATCGCCGGCAACCTCTTCTTTTTCCTCATTGTTTTCTTCCTCCACTTCTCCACCCCTATTCCTACATTGGCCTTCCCGGGTGAGATCACTTGGGTCGCAGGGATTCGGTTCTACCGATGCTAGCACCCCCTCGAGCTCGTCCGTGTACTCCAGAAAAGATTCCATAAAGATGGACGTTATGCCTGCGAATGGCGGTATATGTCCCGGCATAGGGCGAGAGCCGGCGAGAGAGAGGCATCTCGCAAACCTCAGCGTGCGATCCTCCGAGTCAAGGTAGATGCAGTGTTGGGAAAATATAGAGCTTGCAGCTTCATTTGTGGTTTTGCAAACGCGCATAAGTGTCATCAGCGTCTTAGTCGTCTGGTGAGCGGCGGGTAAAAACTCGGGCCCCGCAGGCTTCAAGAAGCTGATGACATGAAGCAGAAGCTCATTCGGGAGGCGTTGTCCCTGGTTTGGCCGCGTGGCCTGATTGTGAATGGGGAGAGTCTGCATCGTGTCCCTGGCTGTGATGGAGACGCTTCCAAGTGTGAAGAGTTTCTGGCTCTGCCTTGGGCACAGGACATTGGGCAGTAATCCAGTCAGCTGACAATATGAGACCTTAATGGCACGCACTGATCTACCCTGAAGCCTTGCGAATTGTTTCACCCGAGCTTATTATTTCTGCTGCTCTTCGCCATCTCCTTGCTTATAAACTCCCAATTAATACCAGATATTGGTTTATTGTTTTCCTCATTGCTGATCTTACAAAAATTAACATCGCTTCAAGTTACGTCCTACCTACTAAACTTGCTATTAGAACTGTCATTGAGATCCTGAGTGCAGCGCATCTTCCTTATCTTTCCCATAGACTAAACCTCCCCCTCCTAAGACGATCGAGCAACCCGCGTGGTCGTGGCGTAGATTGTGGCTCAGACTGCTCCTCAGATTCCAACTCAGGTTGAGGCTCATTAAGGAATGGTGTGTCCGTAACAATCCTTGACCATTCGGGATTGTGAAGCTTCAGTTGATCGCCTTCTATCGGCGTGCCTCTCTCAGCATATTTTCGAGCTGTGGCGCTGACCTCGAGATGCCGACGCTGAAGCATGGCGTCCGGGTGAAACACCACCGTGACGATATAATAGTCAATAATGCCTTCCGAGGTCTCGTCACGAATCCATCTCTGTTGACCCCAGCGACTTGTGCCTCTCCACCCGCTCACGGCACTCTCTACAGCGAAAAGAACCTCGCCGTCGGTTCTGCGGAAGGACCACTTGTCCTTCATTTGTCTTGCTATCTCATCGACCTGGGACTTCTTGCGTTCAAGCGACTCGAGCTCAATCCTGATTTCGCCCACGCTAGACGGCACCGATCCAGATACAAGCTTGATCCAATCCCCTTCAAAGCGGAGTGGTTCATCGTCCTCCCAAAACCACCAATCTGCATGCCGAATAGTCAACGTGATGACACGAGGGCGAAGCTCTGGGGTGGTCAACAGCTTATGAAGGTGCCCATCCTCAATCATGAACATTTGTGAAAATACGTGGAGCCTATCAATCTCAAAATCTCGCTGCTGCTGGGCCCTGATTGCGTGCAGACTAAAGGTGAGCTTTGCCAACTGCTCGTGGAAGCGGTATCCTGGCGGCGCTCTATCCTGGTGCCCTACGACCCAATGGACCTGCTCACAGAGGATGAACGGAAGAAACCAGCATTCGAGATAGATGGCCCGGCATGTCTGCAGTAGCGCTGTGTCGCTCTTGCGGGGTGCTAAGTAGGACGGTCGGGTGTAGAGAGTTGATGTGCCATAGGCCCTATCTGGATCGGGGTCGGGATAATCCGTCAGTGCGTAAGAGAATATTTCATACCGGATCTCTGCTGGCAATTTCTGGAGAAGGAGTGATGTGATCTGGGGATCTGGGGATGCCTTGGCCAGAATTCGCTGGTGCAGTGCGACGGACGAGGATGCCATTTCCACAACGTTGAGGGAGATACGCAGTAGGATATAATTATCGATGACGTTTTTCCGATGATGAAAAAGACTTCGGGGTAGGGCAAAACAGATGACTGAAGGCAGGCAATGTCGGCCACTTTTCAATGACTTGGACCCTGGACGGTAGCCTGATGAAACTCCAGGCAGCAGCGGGGTTTATTAATGCTGCCGGGTGCCTCCTTTAAGCAATAATGCACGTATAGAATTAGAGGAGTGCCGCTGGTGTAGGATTTCGTCTTGGTTACGTCGTGCATTTCATCACATATTACATAGGTACTGGGTACATACATTACACCAGACTGTAGGTACCTGCAATTCCACGTGACCGCACTGTTGGTCCTGGATGCTCTTATTAAAACCAACATGAACTCCCATTCACGCACAATTAGGAGTATCGTTCGAAAATTAGAATAAATCAACTTCTTTCTCATCATGGGTCCAACCTCAACCTCATTGCTTGATCTCTCGCCAGAAATTCTGGTTCAGATAATGGAATATCTGTGCCCGCACTGCTCGGGCGAGCTTGACGGCACAGACACTCAAAGCCTAGCAACTTGGGAGTCACACATTATCGTGGAAGCCTCACAATCAACCCTGAATGGACTCTCGAGATCTTGAAGGGCCATGAGAGACATCGCGCAGCCGTTTCTGTATCATTACATTGTCCAACCTGAAAAGGCCGGGTTGCTTGCCCGCACTCTCCTCCAGCGACCGAGCCTTGCGCGAGCAGTTAAAGGGCTGACCATCACTGCCGTAGGCTTCCACAATGGAGATGGCAAAACTTTGTCAGAGGAAGATCAAGCGAAATTGGAGGTAGGGATATGGCATTACTCCCCAACTGATATGGTCGGCTAGCTAAGAAAACATACTTACCAGGTGCAGGTGCAAACGATTGCCACGGATGCCCTAGAGAGAGACACGTCTAAGCGAGAAAATTTTCTTGGAGTGTTAATGTTAGCACATACCCCCAATGTACAAAGGCTCTCTGTGCACACAGATTACTTCACCCCTATGATGTATTATCTGAACGGGGCCTTATCTTGCCTCACTATACTCCGTGCTAACTGCGAAGACACTGCCAATGTGTTTGGCCTATCGGCTCTGGCGGGTATTATGGCGGCCGCTCCAAATCTGAAGACCTTCTTTGGATATAGCCTTACGGCAGTCGATCTCGAGGAAGGCGAGGTATTTAGTGAAAGCGTCACGGAAGTTAATATCGCAGAAGCCGCAATCTTGAAAGAAGATTTCGACATGCTCATTCAAGGGTTTCCAAGCCTTCAAGTCTTTCGCTTCGAGATGGGCGGGGCCGCCGCCTATGAGATGTGGTGTGGGAGGCCGGCTGATATGGCAAAGTCTCTTTTAGCTCGCAAGGAGACATTGAAGACACTCAACATCAGCACAAGTGCCAGCTTTTACCCCTACGAGCTGCTGAAAAGGAACGAGGTCATCGATGACTTGTCTCGTATGACAGCTCTTGAAACTATCGTTCTCAGCATCGACTCCATCTATACTGAATTTGGCGCCAACAACTATAGTGGCTCTGATTCTGACACTGATACATCTGGATCAATTCTTATTGACCTATTGCCAGAGTCCGTCAGGGTCTTGGGCCTCGTGGATCCTTCCGGTCTTTCAGAGGACATTTTTCGATTAGCTGCTTCTGCTCCTGAAAGATTTCCGCTACTTAAAAAAGTCAAGCTCCAGGGTGCGGGTGAATATAAGCAAAAGGCGTACAAGAAAGCCTTCAAGAAGGCAGGCATAAAGTGCGTTAAAGCCAAAGGCTTGGACATCATCGTACGTGGATAGCAGGTCATACATTATTGAACAGAGATACATGTGCCCTGGAGCGTTACCATTTTGTACATTCCATGACTTCCATAACATCCCTGATGACAGCCCGGAAAAGAGAAGCCGCTTTAAAGGTTCGGTATTTCGAGAATCCAAAAAGAATACGCAGCTTAGGATATGGATGTAGAGTGTCACCAGATTGGTGTTAAATTCTTTTGGCCTGATTTAATCTATCTCCTGCCCGGACACGCTTTGCAAACGACTAAAGTTGAGTCCAAAATACGACCTCAAACGGCGGGGAACTCTTATTATCCGTCCAACTCGTAGGAAAACGGTCCACTAGGATACACGGCCATTGTGAGATCATTGTTTTCTTTTTGTCGTTGCCCCTTTTCTTCTCTCATCGGCCTCGATGCTATCCTAACGATGTTGAAGGTCACACGATCATTTCAGTCTAATCGCAAGAAGGTTTAACACATAACAGTATATGGTCCACTGAAGCCTTTATATTAGCACAGGGAAATATTGAATTGTTTTTTATCCGAGAGTTCAAGGGTTATCCCCAGTCAACGAAAATCTACATGTACCTATGTGCCGATAGAGGCGGCTGGGTAGATGTTAGCAAAAAGGACTTGTTGATTTCTCCTGCCTGAAGTTCAGCTTGAATTCAAATCTACTCTTTTAACTTAAAAGGAAAAGAATCAGATCGCCAATTACGTCGTACAAGGATCGATAACCGGACCACCACAAGCTGACGGCCGCTCACCGCAACTCTTTTATTAAGTAAGCGCTGACCCGTTAGCAAACAACAAGCAAAGAGGCAAGGCGGGGCCAGCTTTTTACCCGTCAATCATCTCTGATGTTTATCCTCCAATTTATCATTACAAACAAGACGCTATGGGAAATTCTTCTTCGACCCAGTTCCGACGATGCGGTCTCTGCTATTTCGAGCTTGAACCTGGCACACCATACCTCACAGACCCTCCTGTATCCCGCCGTGCAATACCAAGATACCCACCACAAGACTGGGCCGAAGGGACACTTGATGATGTGGTGTTTCCTATCCAAACCGACCGAATGATAGATGTGAAGACCACCCTCGACGCCTATTTTATATCTTCACGTCGAAATTGCGGCGGTTGCGGGACGATTGTGAAGCTCATCCAGGACCAACTGCGACAAAGCGGTTCTGAAATAGACAAGGACGCACCCACGCCATGCACTGTGATTTGGTCGGTACCGGACAAGAGTAATGCCACACACTGCCTGCATATATCCTTCATGAGTATGAAAAATGGGAGCCTATACAAAGAGTTTCTTATGCTCTCCATAATTACGGACACTCTTCCGTCCTGTGAGTTCAGCGTCGTGGTTAAACACAAGATAAGACTTGCACTGATTCCATGTCGGCTTCATAGCTCATGCTTTTGCTAAGAAGGTGTCGCCTGGGTATAAGTCAGGTTATACCGGATCGAGCGCTTCCCTTCAGAAGGCCAAGGGATGGATTGAGGAGTGCGACTCATCGCACAAGGCCTGCCAAGAGCAACGCTTGTCCCAATCACCATCTTTCCCCCATCGAGTCCTAGAACTCTCCCCCAACCAAAGCGGCGAGATAACGGTTCGGTTAGTACAAGGTCTCTGCACCCAGGAGCCGTATACTTGTCTGAGCCATCGTTGGGGCCAGTCGACCCTTCGCTGCCGAACGATAAAAGACAATTTAGATTCGCACTTGGAGTGTGTGCCGTGGACGAAATTGCCCAAGTCATTCCAGGAGGCGATATCCGTGACAGTGTATCTTGGGGTCAAATACATCTGGATCGATTCCCTTTGCATCATTCAGGACGATAAAGAAGACTGGAAAATCCAAGCCGCTCAGATGTGCAATATCTACCGAGGCTCCTACTTAACTATCGCCGCTACGAGTACAACTGACAGCGACGATGGTATGTTTTCTCAAACACCTGTCCTCGCAGTCCCCACGCCAAGCTCGGCTAGGCAGCAGCTCTTCCTCAGAAAATATCCAGGACACGCCTATAGTGAACTCAAAGATAGCACAGACTTCCCTCTTCTTACCCGAGGCTGGGTCTATCAAGAGCGGCTGCTTTCTCCCCGGACTTTGCACTTCACCAGTAACGAAGTCAGGCTTGAGTGTCTAAGTACCCAAGCACTCTGTGAGTGTGGCATGGATTACATTTGGATAGAAAAGGGTGAGCATAATCAGATGCTTGTGGAACAGGACCCGATGACGATCGGAAATAGCTGGGATAGTATCGTTACCTGCTTCTCTGCTCTCAACCTGACCTTTCAGTCCGATAGGCTCCCAGCGCTGGCAGGTATCGCAAGGCTGTACGGAATCACTCACGGGCCAATCCTTGGGCAGTACGTGGCGGGTCTCTGGGAACACAGACTCGTCAATAGCCTGCTGTGGTACACAGGAATGGGATCTAGTGTCCGGCGACCGACCCAGTATTCGGGACCCTCCTGGTCATGGACTTCAACTCCTTCAGAGGCAAACTTTCCCAAGTTCCAATGCGTGGAAACTGTTCTTGATGTGGTCAAGTTTCATGTTGAGCTAGCCGGTCCAGATGAATACGGCCCAATCACAGATGCAACAAGTCTCACGCTTGGCGGCTATCTCGTTACGGGATCATGGAGGCCAGTCACCTCACATGGTGTGGAAAGGCCGCAATTCTACGCGCATGACGATCCCTCCGAATCGTTTCACATTCACCTGGACTATAACTTCAGCGAAAGTGATTCCCCAGGATACATACCAGAGGGCCATGCAATCTACTGCTTGAAAACAGGCTTTTTAACTACTGGGTGTCACGTCTGTTTACTTCTGCGTGCCCTTGGCCATGAAGAAGATAAGTTCGAACGCGTCGGTCTGTTAAGGACGGCACCGCGGAAGAACGTTGAGGATTGGTTTGCGGGTGTTGCCACTAAAAGGACTATTGAAATTTTTTAGACCTGAAATTAAATAGCAATGTTCTTGTCCAATACCGTGTGGCATTCTCCAAGTCTCTTTCTGAATTCTTCGTCACCACCATGTCGTTGTTGAGAATAACTTTTACCAGTCGGGATGGCAATGGCGTTCCTCGTTGTAAATTCCGGGAGTGAATTATGTGAGACCTTTATTCCGGAACTAAACTACCCATCGAGTAATAAGTTTTGGGATATTGGTGAAAAAAACTGGTCAAAGCACATGGATGAATATAATGTATCAGTCGGAGCAGTAAAAGAGATAGTCACAAGATATATACACTATGGGTGAGTTCTGACCTTTCCACCCATTGATCTATCTCCTCATTCCCCTCTCGGCCTTCCATTTCGCCTTCTAGCTATAATTTCCTTTATGGTGGCGCAGGCTTCAGTTTGATGTGTTCAAAGAAGCTAAGCCCCTTCGTTCTGCCACCCATTTGAGCAAAAGTCCCAACTCAGCCAGGCGCCCAGGTGACAAACGTGACCTCCAACAAAGACTAATCATGGGCTGTAAGGATGCAGAGTGGGTAAATTCGTCCCCTAAAGGCAATCTCAAGGTCTATCACTCGTCTCGGGCGCTGCCTTACCAAAAAGTCATATCTCATTCCGTCCACATCTGACGTCATCGGCTTAATGATCGATATATCGGTATGTGATCATCTCCCATCAACCAATTGAGTGGCGAGCAATGCCACAGTCTGTATGGAGGGAAAACATCCTCTTTGGGACTCTTCTAGGCTTATCGACTATTTAAAATCAAGGGATAGCTCGGATTTTATATTCAAGATCAACTCAGGTTCAATACTTTGTCGAACAATCAACGCAACAATAAAGAATATTCATCCGGCCATCATGAACCAAGTAATCGCTACCCCATCTCCTGATTCAAAAAAGAAGCAGTACAGGTTCTCGAAACGAGGCGACAGTGGCGGCTGCAACTTTGATCCTGAAAGAGGCACCTTTCAATCGTACAGCGTCAACGTCGGCGAACGCAAAATCGGCGATAAACCTTTCATCTTCCTCCACGAGGGCCCTGTAAATCATCAGGGTCCCAAAACAACAGTTCTAGCAGCAGGTCGACTTCAAACATCCGCCGCTTTCAAAATCTACCTTGGCGATCCCACGTCGGACTATGACGACTACGATAGATCCCTTGCTTGGGAAGCGATGGATATAGAGCGTCCAGAATCAGCATGGTCCCTGGATTTCCCTGATGCCGATCTCAGGAGAGAATTTGTATGGAAAAAGACAAAGCATATTGCTGTTGATGGGGTCGACAAACCTTCCCGCCTGTTGGCTCGGAACTGGAAGCTCACAAGCAAGAATGACCCTGACGAGATCCTAGCGGTTTTTACGGGCGACTCCGGCTTCTCGAGAGGAAGGGGAATTCTTCAGATTAATGTAGACTGGGGTGCCCATTTTGAGCAAATGGTTCTCATGACATTGGTGTGTCAGTTTTTGAAACATAAGCAGCCAACACGACAGGGCAACGGACTCTTCGTTGCTCCCCCTCCGGTCGGGGTAGCATTTTAAAGATTTAGATATTAAGTGGGTTTATGAGGTTGAGCGGAATTGCGAAGTCTAAGGTTTGACAAGAGGCATTCTTGTACCTGTACTCCTTTAGAATAAGTGTACTATCATACAGGCCGGCCGGAAGTTTTGATGTTTCAGCATATCAGCAAATGTTCAGTCTATTAAATGCTTTATCTGTATCGTACAGGCTAAAGTCCTTGACATATAACATTACAAGAAGATATTCAAGACAAGGCAATAGCCGTGTCCTGGAATGCAAGGTTTACATCGCCCGCTTCTCTCATTCTAGAGTTCTTCTCCAAATACGCGCCTCCGCTGCTCGCTTCGCTGCCATTGTCTTCTTCTCGGAGTTCTTGATTGCAACTTTCATTTGCATACTAACTACTAGAGTGTTGCCACTTAAATCTGCCACATTAGGGCTCACTCGACCAGCTTCTAGAAGTTGTGTGACTATCTCTTCCTGATAGCAATCAACTGCAACTATCAGGGGAGCATAAACATATTTATCCGCTATATCGGGATTAGTTTGTTTGCTTTCAAGGAGTGCTTCAATGATTCCCAAGTTTTGCGCAGTAGCCACTAATAGCGTACTCCTTCTATGCGCATTCAGTGAATTAGAATCAGTATGGCTGGTTTTAATAAGACGTCTCACAATAGCTGGATGGTCGCGAATAAGAACAGTGACGTCTGGCTTGTGGTTTATTAAAGATAGTTTATTAGATAGCGAAGGATATCCGGGCAGATTTTGGTGAGAGATGTCTAATGTGAGGACAGATTAAATTAAAGCTTTGAAGCATTCCTGTATTTTCTCATACATGGTCAAGAATGATAGCTCAGCAATACTAATGAGCGAGGCAAGATATCTGTGTCAACCTCTACATTGTTCTATTTCACACACATCTTGTACAGATAACGCCGTATCCATCGAAACTCTCAAGATGAATTCCCAAAAAAAGTGAAGGCTGAAAGCCTGCTTCCAAGTTCGAAGTCCTCGGGGCAGCAAACCTTGTCTTCTCGTCCACCTATTGCTTCGGTTATTGTTTTAAACATTGCTTTCCTTGTGCAAATACCCACATAGTTCGCAAAGCCCCCTTCCTTCTTCTGGGTCAGTACTAGCCACAATTTTCCCATCAACGTATCGAAAATACCCCCGGTCATGCAAAAGCTTCGACATTGAGGTCAATCCGTAGCGCGGCATCTCTTGTGCGAGCTCACTCCCCAAGCCTGCATAAAAGCATTCCTCCGTGTATTGACCGAAGAGTAAGTCGATCATTTTTTCATGCTCACTAAGGAGTGCTTGCTCTATATCGTTGGAGTAGCACTTAGCTCCATATTCGAGGAGTTTCTGGACGATAGAGATATTCCCTGACTTGATTGCGCCAAGCAAGGGGCGGAAATCGTTTAGACCAGCTTTCTCAACATCAGCACCGCGTTTCAAGAGGAGGTTGACTACATTAGCGTTCCCATAACGAGAAGCTAAATAGAGAGGGGTTCCTCTGGAGCACGTCCTTTTTACCTCAGCTTCGCCATCAACATGATATCCATTATCAAGTAGGTTCTTGACGATATTCAAGTTTCCATACTCTGCAAAGCGTCTTATAAGTGCCCCTCGAAGGGTGGCACGTGGCTCAGGGAGAAGAGAGGCCAGTCTAGAGTAAACCTCCCAGTTTTTTGCGAAGAATTGTGCTTTCTCAAGTAGTTGCTGTGTTTTCAGTTGCTGCCGAGAGGCGATGGGCTCCGTAGGGATATAATCAAAGTAGGCGGTACTATTGGGATCGGCGCGAGAGGGAGGGTATAGCGCCATCTCCAAGAGCTCCATATCTCCATTCATAGCCGCACCAACAACCCCCTGAATATCAGCCTTGCCTTTGTTATGGATATCCAATAAAGCATAATGGTAGAAAAAAGGTTGAGGTCGATTAGCTTCATCAAGGACTGGTTCAACCGTATCAGGCAAATTTTCCTGGATTAGTTGGAAAATCCTAAAATTGCCGGCCAGCGCCGCCGCTTCTATTGCAGAGGGAAAAGTCCCATCACTCTGCGTTGGGTCGGTTCCTATTTCCAGCAAGCGCTCAACCAGAGTGACATTGCCTACAAAGGCCGCAGCACTAAGTAAGCTCAGGTCTTGGTTCCTTATATCACCTCGGAAGCCAGGTTCATGCCAGCCCCTCCCTAGGGTCACCCCAAGCCCAAGCCAGCAAAGGGCGTCAATAGTGGCTTGCAGATCGACTCCCTTACTGCATACAGACTCTGCAATCCGACGAACCTCGACATATCGATGAATGGTCGGGTCAGATTCGTTCTTTACCCTATAAGCGAGATAAGAATGGAAGAGCTCCTGGAAGCCATAATTACATCTGATAGGCCAATGCCTTTCAAAACATGAATTATGCAATGGGTGTGGTATGGGTTGATAAATGTCTAGTATTCGCGTCTCAAATAGTGCTTGCTTGTATAGGGCATTAAACAGTTCTGATCGGAACAAATTAGAGCGTTCAAGAAGATGAATCAAACATAGCTTACTGCAAACAAGCCTTAACCTCAAGGCTCTTGAAAAACGGTCCGAAGGATAATTGTCGGACGGCTGGAAGCGAGCCTGCATTGCCCTTATTAAAATGGCGTTGAGCACTTCCCGAGGGAGCATCAAAATAGTAGGCAGATAGACTTGCATTGTGGCGACAAGATCGAGGGAAAGAAGCATGAAGAATGATGATTGCCGAAACATGCATGTCGCGGCGCCAGACGAGTGACGACGTTGTTTAGTGATGAGTTTTGAACCTTGGAGGGGATTTTTTCAGTCACCTGACGACAGCCACAAATGCATATTCCATCTCAACTCCCAACTAAAGGTTCCCTACGTGATTGTAGTGGCCATGAATGCCCCCTGCAGCAGGCCCCAGGATAAGCGACAGGATTAGAAGTATTGGTATTACGTTCAATAATAATATCTTGGCTTTCCAAAATTATAATTATTCTGATTTGGTCGATGGTGGCTGTGGGTAGTCGAGTTGGTGATGACGCTGCACCAGTATGAAGTATGATGCTATTATTGGCAATGAACAGTCCATTCTGGCGGGGACTGACTGCATGTGCAGCTGAACAACCCTACACAGCCCGCTTTAGGCAGACGCTTGTTGGTTTTGGTGGCATGGTATTACTAGCATCACAGCATATCCCGACTTGGGCCGATATGCAGTTGGTTGAGAAGCAAACATACTATTGGTAAATACCGTACAATCTCACAGAATTTGTGCAATACAAGCCCCATAAATTCCATTTCAGCTGCGAATAGAATCTAAGGACGCCATGTTCGATGTCATCGGTAGTTTAGTCCACGACGGCAAGCCAGCATCTTGTGCCTCGTTCTGCACGAAGTACGCTAGATTACGCGGTGACAGCAAATTATTTTTTATCTCTATGCGTCTTAAGCATGTTAATGATGAAATAGAACAACATTTCAGGATATAAAGCGTTAGTTTTGTTTGGTTCAAAGAGTAAAATTATTAGATATTTCTGCATGCCAGGCACGCTTCAATTCAGGGTCGACCATATAGACCATATTTAACTAACAATCGACTCACGAACAAGCATTTTCTTCCACAACCTCGTCCACTTGGACCATGAGAGTTTTCTCTCTTCTGGGCGCTGTTGCCCTCGCCCTCCACGAATTTGGGCAGGTAATCGGAACGCAGCGAGATGTGCAAAACATACCAGCAGTAAGTCATGCCAACGGCGCCAAATTATACCTCATTTCTGTGGAATGTTTTCTTGTATCTAACATTGCTCTGAAGAAAAACAGGAAAAAATAATCGATAGGATCGACTCCACAAAGAGACAACCTCATTCGTGGCTAGGATGCCGGACTCAAGCTACAACAAAGAGAATCAGGCAACCAATAGCTAACTCCCTCTGGGATATCGTCAGCTGTGCTAGTGAAACGCAATCCCAAGAAACCAGCAGCCAAGCCACCCACTAAACCACTACCGAAGCCACCAGCTAAGGCCAAGAGACCCGCAGCCCCTCAGAAATCAAACACCAAGACAACGACCAAGCTCACAGCTAAGCCCAAGAAATCCATAGCTAAGCCAGCAGCCAAACCTCATAAACCAACCGCCAAACCATCACCAAAGCCCAAGAAGCTAGTTGCTAAGACAGCATCCAAGCCACTTACGAAAACTAAGAAATCAGCAACCAAAACTTTGAAGCCAAATTCTAAGTGCCACTCAAAAGCCGGAAGATTTCAAGAAGATTCTCGATTCCCCGTTGGGCATGAGCGCTCAGAAAATTGGGGAGCGGTTGGGCAAGAACGTTGAGAGTGTCACTATTCCAGAATTGAAGTACACATATGTAGGGTATAAGAAGTATAAGCTGTCAGGTCACCGGCTGAAGTTTGATCTCGCCGATCAGTCAATCCCTCAGGGCCAGTAAATATCGACACAGTCGTGGCAGTTCTCAGTCTGAGGCCTGCTCTCAGCAGACCTATCGGAACCAAACTTCGTGAACCACGGAAACATGGTTACTGAAATGAATACAACAACCGTAGGAAGGAATCAACGGCAGGAGGTTTTGTTTTATATTGGTAGTAGCATTGGTTATATACATTTTGATCTTGGTCGAAATGGTCTTCTGAAAACGCGGAGATAGGCTAGCAATTACATCAGACAATCATAAACGTATCTAGTATAGTCGATTCCCTCCTAGCATTTATCTTTTCGTGCCAAGCTTGGATGATTTCTCCGTTCATTGTGCCATGAATATGAGATTTTCTAAAAGGAGCTCTGGAACACTACTCCTGTGAAAACAAGAAGACATATACATTTGTCCAATAAGAAGGAAAACATCTTTATACTGTCGAAGTATCATGGCAACGGATGTCCTAAATAGAATAACGGCTTTATCATTGATCAGTTCACACTTGCGGGTAGCCCACACCGATGTACCTCAGCATTGAGAAAATACTCATAGTATCACAAGCCACTCAAGAGGTTAATGAGGAATCGTTGACCGTGCCCAGTAATACCTAAGTATCATCGGGTAGTTTTAGATCCCGACCGACCAAGTCTTGGTTCTAGATGTTAGTAAAGCAATGAATTACATTCAGCCCTATTATATTTCAAGACGTACAGATATTTTAGATCGCGGGTCATAAGATTATCAAAAGCACGGTCTACAGATGCTAGATCAAATAGCCAAGAGAAGTTAGTTTGGGAGAACAGATGGTGCCAGAGATATAAGAGATATTGCTGGTTCCTAGAGATCGATTCCGTGCCTTCGAGATCTATAGATGCTATCGAGCCCACTTCCGTAGTTGCGTTCTTGGGAGAGACAGGGAGTGTCATTGGACTTCGGAGTTAGGTTCAAAAATCAACCAGGAGGGTGCGACGCGTCACCAGGCCGCCCTTCACCCACCCGATCAATCCGTAGAGATCACGCGTTACCTCAGATATCCGCGTCATCATCGAGGCAGCGCAAGAGGTGTCGACACCTGACGCGTTTGTTCAATGCCAGGCGGCTTTGAAAATGTCACAGCCCGTGTATCCAAACAGGTAAATACTCACGCACGTTCTGTCTCTCTCTGGTTTCAATACGGTCAAGGATCAACGTGTGCGTTAAAACTCCGAATCGGGCCATTTCCACGGACTCTCCCAGCACCCCGACAGTTGGGGCAGGGGGTCGTTGATTCATAGTATCTTACCTTACCTAGAGGCTAAAGGGCCTTGTCAGGCACTCAGGCGATTTCAGCACAGCCTGAGTGCAAGTAAATTACCCATTCTTTTCCCCGGCGTTGAGTTGGGCCGTTCAACCCAAGTCCGACTACTTAAGAATTATGGATGATCATGTGGAGCAGCCCATTTTTACGCTGACGGGATAACTCTACAATCATGCTTGTTCTTAGTCTATGAAGAGGCAGACACTAAGCTACCCTTGCTCTCTTATGTCGAAGATGAAGATATAAGACGAAACCAGGCATCTTGCAAAATACGAATAAAACGAAAGGGGAAAACTAAGAGAAGGCAGGCGACCGGAGGAGTAGAGTCCGAGATCATGCTACTTGACCTTCCCGCCCCCTGATCATAATCCGCCAAACAGGGAGTGTCGTGGGTCGAGGTCTCCCGTGACCGGATTGATTTCCCAGTTGTCGACGTCTCCAGAGTTCCACATCAACTCCCAACACGACAAGGCCATCGTACTGAGCAGGGATTCGGCTACCCGGCACATCTAGGCTGATGGAACCTCACACGAGTCATGACAAATCTCGGGTCTGGTCAGTCGATGGGGAGATGACTTCTTCGAGGTCCCATGCTCGAATCCCGAAGCCCGCCTCTTGAAACCCCACCACGACCCAGCTCAGGGCTCATTCTTCCCGATCCCAGCATCTGGCTATTTCCTAATGCAGACAATAATCCCCTGTCAACTTACTGGTTTGAGAATTCAAGATGGAGCAGACCGCAAGCCAGATTATGTCCGGGACAGACGGGTCAAGCAATCTTATCCCTCATGGAATCCATGAGCATGCCTTACCGCAACTTGCGCGAACCTAGCAGCTTTGCCACCTAGTGAAGATTTGTTATTTCAAAGAGCCATCTCCCTCGTTGCGTAGTACTCGCGTCTTGAAACCTTGTATCTTTAGACTCGGCTACCTCATCCCAGTGAATGCTCTTATAGATGGTTGGCGCTTCTTAGCCACGACAATAGCACAGACTATCTCTACAATCGACGATACTAACTCTGGCAGCTGTACCGCCATGGTGGCCGACTCAGAGAAAGAGGCGAAGCCAACTGAGGCAAGCCGGAAAGAGGAGGAAGCAGGTTCTTCACAAGATTCTTCACGAGAGCAACAACCCATTGCTCCAAATCCGGTGATAGAGAAACTTATTGCGGAAGAATCCACGGCGAAGCCTCCATCAACCATCAGTATGACCAAACAGCCAGACAGCGAGAACGTCACGATAGTCAACGACGACGAGACCCCCCAGCTAAGTAGCGAGGAGGGCGACGTCGAGAAGCAGCGCCATCCAACTAGCGAGGGAGATGTAACTGACGATCCCAACATCGTGTCCTGGGACGGTGACGATGACCCAGCAAACCCCTACAACTGGAAGAGCTGGCGAAAGGTTGTCAACTGCATCCTCATCAGCGCCCTGTCTTTCCTAACACCCCTCGGTTCATGTAAGAGAACCCACCAAAGACCCATTCCCTACGGAAGAGATGACCAGTAAACTAACCCAGCCTCAACAACCCAGCCATGTTCGCCCCCGGCGTCACAGACCTCATGATAGAATTCCAGATGACCAGCCGCTCACTCGGCTCCTTCGTCGTCAGCGTCTACGTCCTGGGCTTCGCCGCCGGCCCCATGATCTTCGCGCCCCTCTCCGAGATCTACGGCCGCGGCATCATCTACCACACCACCAACCTCTGCTTCCTCGCCTTCACCATCGCCTGCGCCGTGGCCCCCACCTTCTCCTCCCTCATCGGCTTCCGCTTCCTCGCCGGCCTCTTCGGCTCCGTCCCCCTCACCAACGGCGGCGGCTCCATCGCCGACATGATCCACCAGGAGAAGCGCGGCGCCGCCATGTCCGCCTTCGCCGTCGGGCCCCTCCTGGGCCCCATCATCGGTCCCGTCGTGGGCGGCTACGTCTCCGAGGCGCTGGGCTGGCGCTGGGTCTTCTGGATCCTCTCCTGCCTCTCCGGGTTCGTCACCGTCACCTTCTTCGTCTTCTCGGCCGAGACCTACGCCCCCGTCCTGCTCGAGAGGAAGACCAGGCGGCTGAGGAGGGAGACCGGGAACGCGAACCTGCGCTCCAAGCTCGACGAGGGCCTGCTCCCCAAGGACTACTTCGTCCGGGGCATCGTCCGGCCGTTCAAGATGCTCTTCTTCTCGCCCATCTGCATCATCGCGGCGCTCTACGTCGCGCTGGGCTACGGGTACCTCTACCTCATGTTCTCCAGCCTCTCACCTCTCATCCAGCAGATCTACCACTTCGGGACCGGCGCGGCAGGTCTGGCCTTCCTGGGTTTCGGCGTGGGCAGCATGATCGGCGTCATCTTCTTCGCCCGCCTGAGCGACGTCTACATCAAGAAGAAGGCCAAGGAGGAGGCCGAGCTGGCCGAAGCGGAGGGCCGCGAGCCTGCCGGCCTCAAGCCAGAGTACCGTCTGCCCCCTCTCCGATTCGGCGCCCTGCTCCTGCCAACCGGGCTGTTCATCTACGGGTGGACAGCCTACTACAAGGTCCATTGGATTGCGCCCATCATCGGCACGGCGGTCATGGGTGCCGGCAACCTAATGATCTTCATGGTAAGTTCCCAAGTTCAAACCTCTCAATGTTATCCATTTCATCGGAACCGAAAGCTGACGGGAACCCATTCTCAAGTCCTTCCAGATGTATCTCGTCGACACGTTTGCACAATATTCCGCCTCGGCACTCGCCTCCAACTCGGTCGTGCGATCCATCCTCGGCGCCGTCCTGCCCCTCGCTGCCTTCCCCATGTATGACAAGCTGGGCTTGGGATGGGGAAACAGTTTGCTGGGTTTCATTGCCGCGGCGCTGATCCCCGTCCCGTGGCTGGTGCTCAAGTACGGCGAGTACCTGCGAAAACGGTTCGAGATCAAGAATCTGTAGGGTGTTTTGAGAAGGATGAAGGCCGGCTGGTTCGGTCAGTACAGGAGTAAGATACTTGACATATAATAGGTTAATAGGTTTGATCTCTTTTTCTTTGGGCATTGGACGGCGTTCTCCGGGTAAGGGATGATGAACAGCATTTGAGAAAACAATTGGTAATGGTAGTACAATCATATAGAAACAGGTTAGAAAATTCGAACCAACTCCGCTTCAATCAGGGAAGAGTTGAGGAATATTGAAAGATATTCTCCACCTTGAGGGATCGCTTAGAAAAATGATCAGCACATGGAGGGCCAAGAATAATCACAAGCGAGAGTCACAGAGTTGCACAAAACTCAATCATCTAGGTATTCGTTGTGTATCAGAGTGATGTTTATCCTCATTTCATCCAGCGGACGGAACCCATTCTTCCCGCCGGATACATTTTGTACCAGTGTCTATCAGACTCGTCATTATCAATAACATCCAATTGCTCCCTGCCGCAAACCATAAAAAGAAACCCAAACCATAACTAATCAAACCAGTACTTATTAGAGGAATTTAGAAAAACGGTTGTCCTGCATAACGACCATTTACAGCTGTCCAACGCCAAGATGCTCGGGGTCGGCGCGGACGATACGGAGGGTGTTGGTGTTACCCATGCCGCCCTTCCAGCCCTGGACGACGACGACGGTATCGCCAACGGTCAGGGTGTTGAGCTCAAGAGCACGCTCAATGCACCACTTGATACGCTTGTCAACATCCTCTTGCCAGTTGACCTCGTTGAAGTTGGGCTTGGATTCAGGGAACAGGAAGGGGTAGACGCCACGGCTCAGATGGCTGAAGCGGGAGGCGCTGGGGTTACGGGTGACCATGAAGATGGGGCAGACAGGTCGGTACTTGGAGATGAAGCGAGCAGACTCGCCAGAGGTGGACAGAACAATGATACCACCAGCAGCAAGATCGAGCGAGGCACGGACAGCAGCCATGGCCACAGACTCGACAGTGCTAACAGGGCGCTTGACGAGGGTGCACAATTCCTCGAAGTGGGAAACGTAGGGGATTGTGTTCTCAGCCTTGAGACAGGCCTCGTGCATCTCGTGGACGGCCTCAGCAGGGTAGGAACCCTTGGCGGTCTCACCAGAAAGCATGACGCAGTCAGCACCGTCGGTGACAGCGTTACCGACATCGCTGATCTCGGCACGGGTAGGGCGGGGGTTCTTGATCATAGACTCAAGCATCTGGGTAGCGCAGATGACGGGCTTGCCAGCCAGGTTGCACATGGCGATCAACTTCTTCTGGGCAGCGAAGACCTCAGCAGCGGGAATCTCAATACCAAGGTCACCACGGGCAACCATGACACCGTCGGTCTCGCCGAGAATCTCGGGGAAGTTGTTAAGACCCTGACGGTTCTCAATCTTGGCAATGATCTGGATGTGCTTGCCCTCGGCACCAAGGACCTTGCGGATATCTCTGATGTCCTGAGCACGGCGGATGAAAGAAGCAAACACCATGTCGACGTTGTTCTTGACACCGAAGAGAAGGTCGGCCTTGTCCTTCTCGGAGAGAGCGGGAAGGTCGACATCGGTGTTGGGCAGGTTGACACCCTTCTTGGAGGAGATGAAGCCGTTGTTGCGGGCACGGGCCTCGATGGTCTGGTCGTCCTTGATGCTGAGGACGTCGAAAGCGAGGACACCATCGTCGACGTAGATGATTCGGCCGGGCTGGATCACCTTGGTGATGTTCTTGTAGTCGACGTACCTACAAAATAATATTAGCATTCTGGTAGGGCTCTTGGGGGAGGGAGAGCAAAGGCTAGGCCTACTTACATGTTGTCAGTGTCGCAGGCCTTGGCGTACTTCTCGTCGGTAGTGAAGTTGATGATCTTGCCAGCCGAAATGGGGATATCGACGTCACCCTCAGTGTTACCAGTACGGATCTCAGGACCCTTGGTGTCGAGGGCGATGGCCACGGGACGGCCGACCTGGCTGGCCTCAGCAGCGCGGGCATTGTCAATGACGGACTGGTGGTACTCGTATGAGCCGTGAGAAAAGTTCATGCGGACCACATTAAGACCAGCGGTTCGCAGCTTGTTGATGGCCTCGACGGAGTTGGTCTTGGGGCCGATGGTGCAGATGATGGAGCTACGACGGTAGTTCCTCTCAGGTCTGTAGGCAGTGTCAAGAGAAGCCAGCCAGGCAATCTTGCCACCAAGATCGAGATGATCCTGGGAGGTTGAGGCAATGAAGCTGTTGGTTCGCTTGCGATAGGGCTTGGGGTCAGACATGTTGGGCGGAAAGTAGGTGTGGGTTGGGTATTGAGTTCAGGTGAAGTTGAGGTGGGAAGCTGTGAGGAATGGAAGAGCTGGATGAAGACTCAAAGAACTTCAGGAGCTGCAGGAGATGCAAAAACCGAAGGACCTGGGGGATTAAAAGGAAGAAATTGGGGTGAAGGAAGAGTGGCGCTGATGAAGAGGAGAAGGTCAATGGGCTGGGAGCTGTCCTGATGTAGTAAATTTAATTTCCAAGGCTGGCCTCAGAGGAGGGAGGAGGGGTCCCAAATCCAGTGAGGGGCAGCAAGCCCCAGCGGACATGCGTACATCCATTGCATGCGTGGATGACAGCACCAGCAGGCTTGGCGGGCGATGCATGTACCTACTCAGCAAGGGTCTCCGGCCACCACTACAGTGCTACAGGCCCACTGTGAAAAGGCGGCACCCACCTAGAGGTGCCAATGGGGAGCTAGGATAAGATACTAATGATAATGACAATGACTAACCAAACAACGGAAAGGGCGGGAGCAAAAGTGCTACAATCGATTTAACAAGCAGAAACTGGCCTCGTTGCGCGTTCGCCTTGCCATGGCAATGAGACATTTTGCCCAGCCAGCGATGAGATAAAAAGAATGACCCTACGATTCCTCTGGCCGTCCCCTCCCAAACACGCACGCACCCACCTCCAGTGACCCCTTCACGTGCAAGAGGGGGAGCCCAGTAAGGTCATGACCAGCTGCGGCCACCTTGGAGGTGCCCAGCGCCGTGTTGCTGTGCACCCAAAGTAACTAATTCAGTTTCAGCCCTTAGGTCGTTACATGCTGACCCAATAGTCGTACCCTTTTAACGAGGTACATCTCAAGATCCTTCCGTTCCTGCACTGTACCGCGCTCCCCGTGGGCAGATTCATACGATTATAGGACTCTTACGCCGTGCACAATAAGCACGGCCCCCCCCCAAGAAAGTGATGCTCTTCAGCTGGTTGGTGCCCTGATTCCCAGCGTAAATTGGCCGCCACATCATCCCATGAGGCATGGTCAGGTCTTCCTATAAATCATGCCATGCTGAAATAAGAGCTCAGGCCGTCGCCCGTGAACACGAGTCGAGCACAGAGACGTGTTTGAGGGATTTGCTACTGAGCTGAGCCAAAGTGCGGAATAGCTCAGTTAGGCGAAGGATAAAAAAGGCCGAATCCAGGAGCAAAAAAAAAATCACAATCGAGCCCACCGACTATCCCACGTAGTAGAATCTACCTACCAAGGGTGGGTAGATGGTAAGCTGTTGACGCTAGATGGTGTAGCT